CTCACTCGATCAATGAACGAAACAAGGATGTTGAACTTATCAACAAACTTAATTCGCAGATTCAAATAGGCCTAAGAGACTCACTCACTTAAGACTAATGAACAAACGACAAAGACTCAAACTTTGACAAGAAGAAAATGTTCTTATTACTTTAATATGATCAAGGTGATTTACAATGAAGAATGAGCTGAGCTTATATAGGCTCGAAATACAACAGCTCTAATGTCTAAAACAAGAATCAAATCGCAAAATTGAATGAGAAACTAGCCGTTGGAAATTAAATGGCAAAATCCGGCGAAATAAGGAAAGTAGCCGTTAGCTTGTATCTTGAAAGCTTGGGAAGGAAGTGGTGCGTCCTTGGAAGTCTCTTGTGCTCTTGGAGGGTCTCTAAAACGCACTCAAACAGCTGGAGAAAGAGTTGTTGCTGGTTGATCTCCTTTGTCTCCAAACAAGGCAAATAAGGCAAGTTCGGTTCCGGATATGGAAAGTGAAGGTGTGGGAGGATCCGCCTGATCCCATGTGTATTGGTGCACCCTATAGTGTTGTAGGGATCTTCTAGAAATATTATAAAGTCTCCTGGGCGCCAATGATACGTTTCGAGTCTCCTAAACCCATAAGGTTCCAAATAAGGCAAGTCGAGGGTCCTCCGGTTTAGAAAATTAATATCTCTCAAACCAAAATTGGTATTGACTTGATTCCAATTCTTCGTGGTTCGCTGATGAGTTAATATTGTATGAAAATTCATTTCGTAGCTTAACTCCTTCTGATCGGGTCGGAATCCTCCAATGACTCCGTGTATGTCCAAATCGGGCAAGCTGGGAATCACCCGACTTGTAAATTGAATAACTCTTTCGTGTGAACTCCTTTTGGGCTGATTCTTCTTCGAGGTGCTCGGTATTTGATCTGAGAATGTATTCCAAGTATTCGCTAGGACGTAGGACATGATCTTGGACTTCGTCTGGACTGAACAAGGCTCAGGGGTCTTCTCCGGTAGGCTGAATCTGGTTTGGCCCGAAGTTTTAGATAAAACTTGGTTAAAAATCCGACTTGGCTGCTCATGGGTGTTGTTTCTCGCCCATAATCTTCTCCATGGTTGGTTCTTGGGTTGATGACCGCATCAAGAATGGTGAATATTTGCACGATCATAAGATTTTTCTTGGTGTGGCTAAGACAGCTCCACACCCATCTGTCCACACCCTCCACGACGCAAGTAAATTGATTTTCCATGTCATGAATTTTTTTTTCTGTAATACTATGGTTGTAACTTATTGCTAAAGTTTTGATGCCATTACACCAAAGACTAACGCTATTAATTTTGTTAATTAGGTACAACCTTGCAGAGAAGCTTTGGTAATGGATTTAACTAGTTACCTTTTGAGTTTTGTTATCGAGAGCACATTGGGTGAAGTTTTTGATTTACATGGAGAGATCACAAGGGTTTTTGATATTCCAGGTACGAAGACTACCTTCTACAAGAAAGCTTTCAGATAGAAGAAGATGAGACAGTGGAAGGACTTGATGAAAATCCCAGTTTTATTGAGGTACCTGTTCTTATTATCTTCAAAATATGTCATATTAGCCTTTAATAGAACTGTTTCAACAAAGTCAAAAGATGACTTATTCTGAGGATAAATCTTTAGATTAGGCTACTTTTTGTTATGCAAATTCAAGTCCTTTTCTCCTTAGAGTCGTGCTAACACACTTGGCTGTTAAATTCAGGCAGTTGCCTTAAGAGAAAAGACGCTCTTTGTTGCGCATCTTTCTCGCCAAACTAAAATATCAGATATGTAAGTAGCACCTTTAATTTCCTCTTTCGTTATTGGATCAAGTTTTTCATGACTAATATTTTATCCTCCATTGTTTACAGCATCAATTTCTTCAAAGATGTTGGACAAGTTGTTCATGTCCGACTTATTGTAGACCACAAGGGCAAGCATGCTGGCTATGGCTTTGTTGAGTTTACTTCAGCTGACGAAGCAAAGAAGGTGAGATTAGTTTATAGTAATGATGAAAAGTGTTTTACTAGTCATTAGAAATGTAGTGTATACTTATGATGAAAATGATAAAAGTAGTTATTTCTAAGTTGATTGCTGATTAAATCTTTAATACTGTAGGCGCTGGAGAAGAAGAATGGAGAATATTTACACGATCGCGAGATTTATCTTGATGCGGTTAAAACAGCTCCATACCGTCCACGACCCAAGTAAATTGATTTTCCATGTTATGTAGATTTGTTTCTGTAACATTGGTTGTAACTTATATTTTTATGCCATTACAGAAGACTAGCACGGTTATCTTTGTTAATTAGGTATTGCATAGATCACAAGGTTTGGTAAGGGATTTAAATATTTGCCTCATGAGTTTGTTATCAAGAGCACATTGGGTGAAATTTTGGGTATACATGGAGATATTAAGGCCCTATGATATTCAAGGTACGAAGACTACCTTCGACGAGAGAGTCTTCTGATAGATGAAGATGAGACAGTGGAAGGATTTGATGAAACTCCCGAGTTTGTTGAGGTACCTTTTTTTTTTTAATGCTCTTCAAAACATGCCAGGCTCCAACAGAAATGCTTAGCGTTAAATAACAGAACTGTTGCCATAAAGTCCAAAGATGACTTATTATGGGGATGAATCTACTTTTTGTTGATATGCAATTTAAATTCTTTTATCCTTGGAGTCGCGCTAACACACTTGGCTGTTAAATTCAGGAAGTTGCCGTAAGAAAAAAGACGCTTTTCATTGCCAATCTCTCTTTCAAAACTAAAATATCAGATATGTAAGTAGCACCTTTAATTTCTTCTTTCGTTCTTGGAGCAAGTTCTTCAGACTGATATTTTACTCTCAATTTCTACAGCGTCAATTTCTTCAAAGATGTTGGAGAAGTTTTTCGTGTTAGACTTATTGTAAACCACATGGGTGAGCATGTGGGCTGTGGCTTTGTTGAATTTTCTTCTGCTAACGAAGCAAAGAAGGTGAGAGTCGTTTACAGTAATGATGTAAAATTTACAATTAGTTATTTGAAAGTACGATTGATGATGATGTATACTGTAGGCGCTGCAAAAGAAGAGTGGTGAAAAATTGCGCCTTCGGTATATTTTTATTGACGAGGCTGAGATAGCTCCATACCCTCTCCGACCCAAGTATATTTTTCTTGATTTTCCATGTTATGGAGATTTGTTTCTCTAACTTATTGCTAGTGGTTTGATGTCATGACATAAGATTAACGCTCTTATTTTTGTTAATTAGGTACAACATGGCAGAGAAGCTCTGGTAAGGGATTTAACTATTTGCCTTTTGAGTTTTGTTATCAAGAACACATTGGGTGAAGTTTTTGGTATACATGGAGAGATCACTAGGTTTTTTTATTTTTTAATATTCCAGGTATACGAAGAGTACCTTCAACGAGATAGCCTTCTGATAGAAGAAGACGGTTTGGAGACCAACCCGAATCTGAAGAAACAGACGGGGAATTTTGCGGTAAGAAGATTACCTTCTCTGACGACGATTGATAGAAGAAGATGAAGCTCTTTGGTGTTTATAACCTGTGTTTTTGTTTTACTTCCGGTTTTTCTTATGTTCTAGTTAACTTTTTGTCTGAGCGTACGTTAAAATATGCTTAATTTTGAATGCTTTGGTGTAAATCATTATCTACCTTCATAATTAAACTAAGTAAGAGCCGTATACGATTTGAACTGATTTGGCTGACAAAGCCTAATCTCCCGAGGGACATAATTTTACTTTTCGCGAATTTAGTCTCAACTTGATTGGGTAGACTCAGTCTTTCACATTACACCAAAATATAAATATATGTCCCCATTCTGTAAATCACTCCTATGATTTAGACGTGAGGGTTAAGTCAAACCATCTTTTCGGCTTTGTTTTCTCTAACGTTATATTGTATTTTCTCTCTTTGTCTAGTATTTTTCAGTAATTTTAACGTTATGGGCCCATTAACCAGTAATTTTAAGCAATACAAGATTCCATTAAGCAACCGAAATCCGATAGTTAAGCAATAAAAGGGCCCATATTATGTCAAAGAAAACAACAAAAACACATACGACGTCGACACTTTTCTTGTAGCGACAAAGATATTAACAAGTCAATGATGATGTTGATATTAATAACGGTAATGCAACAAACAATAAAATTATCATCGATGGTTTACCCGAGAGCTGGCCAATGCTCGAGATTTTCTCCAAGCTACGTAGTAACCTTTGAGATCTTATTGCAAAATTGTGAGCAAACGATGGAACTCTCTGTTATATATTAATATTGTTCGTCTTTCCATTACTCTCCGAGCTTGGCTTTGATCCTTAACACACAACCTCAACTTGCTACAAACGACATGTGCTTAGCGAGGATTCGAGGTAAGCAACTATATCGATCCCGATTTTGATCAGGCCCGACTCAGAAAAAAGTGCGACCTTGTGCCAATTAAAAAAAATGTTTATATCTTATACATATGTTTAGATTTGGACCCTTTTTATATAATTTTCAAGAAAATAGGACCCTAATTGCTTTAAAAAAATGACTAAAAAATAGTGGATCCTATGCAAATGCACTGTTGGCGGCACACCCTTTTAAGTCGGGCCTCATTTTGATACCTCAAAGCAACATTGTTTTCCCAACAAAACCTAAATTGCTTATGTAAGTTAATAAAAAAATAAAAATAATTGTTAAGCAAACATAATTTTGAGAAGAAAGAGATAGATAGATTTCAAATTCATAACAGCAGGCCCGAGTGTGACCTAAATCTTTTAGGGGCATCATTTTTCAATTAGTAATTATGGTGCAGTGGTAAAGACTTTCCATCTCTCCTGAAATAGTATTGATTTCAAAACTTCAAATACTTGTAGAGTATATTTTGTAAGGAAAAAATAATTATGATTTTATGATGGTCCAAAAGTTTTTTTTTAGGAAAAATTTTAGATTGTGTCGGTCCTGCATAACGGTATCGATTCCCGCTTGTATATAAACCCCTTCCTCTCAGCAAAATCGAATCCAGAGAGAGACCCAAGTTTTGAAATCTAAATTCTATCTCTCTTTCTCTCTCGCTCATCTCCATCTCCATCTTCTCTCTCGCTCATCTCCATCTTCATCAGTGGAGACCATCAGGACTCTCCAGCGCAGAAGATTATAGCGGGTGCATTTCACCGAAAGCATGTACGAAGTGACGGTTGCAAGAAAAATCGACGTCGTGGAAAAGTGGATTGGAGCAATGGAGTGTGTTCATGCTAAGAAACTCATACGGAATAAGCTTCTGGTTGGAATCACCGTGCAGTGGAAGATTGTTGCTTTTGCAAATCTTCTCGAGATCTGCGTCTGGAGCAAGGTCCTCATCATCGTGCTCTGATTCATTACGAGCCTCCCGACGTCGCTAGATAGTTTTCTCAACCGCGATAGAGGAGCCGTCAGTTATAGTTAGTTATCTTTTTTCTTGAATTATTTTTGTAAATCGAGATTGCAAAATTGATATCACTTTATTTAGATTGTCCAAACTCGTATCTTTTTATATGTCGCTGTAATTTTTTTGCAAATAACAGATATTTAAAATGTTATAAATTAATTTACAGTGTGATCATATTAATTTATAGATTTTATTGTATATTAGCATCAGACATTGCACTTGCACTGCACAGAGAAGACGACCCAGCAAAGCTTTGATCATGGTTTTTTCTAAGAGCTCATGGATTATATGGCGTAGGATTTGGTCGCTACCAAGAGAACCTCCCTGATAGATGAATCAAAACTAGCTTCATCAATATCTTTTTAAGTATTTATATATGGTACTAAATGTTAACATATAAAAATTCCGCTAGATTCAACAATTTCGTCAATACCATTTGCTACCTTCAAAAGATCCACTAGATTCCGATAGATCTAGCTTCATCAATATCTATTTTTTTTATTTTAATTATTTTTTAGTAGAAGTCCTTAATTTTACAAAATGTGTGGTCTCTCTTCTCTCGTTTTACTAATGCCACGTGGTAATTAGTGACACATTTTGTTAGATCTATCCATTGGAATTTCTAGATGACATGAGCTTTGTGAATATTGTGCCCAAAGATTAAAGAAATATATAACGTCAACTTCTTTTTCTAGCACGATATGAGTTTGTTAATTTTTATAGCCCCTCAAGATCCGAAGTTACAAATTAAAAGAGTATCTATCCGATCAATATGATTCTAGATAAAGATAGAACAAGTATATAACGTCAATTTTTCTAGCACAATATAAATTATACAGTTTGAGTTTTTTAGGATTTTCTATTTTCCTCTATCTCTAAAATCTTAATTACCTCAGAAATTACACCACTCACATATACAGACTTCTCTCTTAAATTAGAGTAACTTGGAGACTTATTGAATTGTTTATTTTCTTTACCGATTAATTGAGAGCTTTTACACATAAAGCAATACAAATAAATGAATATATATAGAAGAAAACGACACCACATTGGAAGAGAAAGAAGTGGTCGGGAGTTGGGCCAATCGCACAAACAAGTCTACTGATCGGAGGGAGCTGGGCCTAGTATAATAGCATTAAATTGGTCATTTGGGCTTTGGATGAAACATATCCGACCCGACCTGACCTGGTATGATGATCTTGGCGCGAAAACAGCAATGAACAAAAAAAAGTTAAAAGAAGACGATCAGAGCTAATTGTCTTAAGAGGGAGAGAGAAATATGTTTGGTAGGCTGAAACCACCGCCGGAGTGTGGAGAAATATCCGGCGAAGATCATCAAAGATGATCCTCTCTCCGTCCACTATACAAATTCACACTCTTTCCAATTTCAGATTTAGTGTTAAACCCCTCGTCAAGCTCGATTTCAAGATCCTGGAAATGAATCAAGCACATAAGTAGGTTTTAGAGTTCTTGAGAATTTGGGAGTCGTAAGAAATCTAGAGGGAAGAGTAAATTCGAATTAGAAGGATCTAGGTTTTAGAAGCCTTATTCATCTTGCTTCTTTTGATGGCACTTTTACACACTAGATTCAACACTGCTACTTATGTGATTAAAGCTATTGGTATGGTTTCATGCAATAGAGAAGATGGTTTTGTGTTTGTCCAAAAAAAAAAGAGAAGATGGTTTTATTTGTGAGGATTTACAAGCTTTCCTTTAAATTTGTGGTTAGCAGATGCTGAATCACGTCAAGGTACTTGTGTCTGCAGTAACAAGAATAAACGAGCTTGACAGCTTGTATGGGGTTATACATTGAAACAAAGGTTCGTAACTGATACTAAAGTAGAGTACATATTGGATATCTCATCTACACTTTCGGAACTCTTGCCTATTGGAAATGGTTTGCTAGTCATTATTTTCCTGAAGTAGTAACATCAAATGAGTGTACAGGGTCCAAATAAAGAATCAGCTAACCAGCCTGCTAGTATCAAATGAAACTGGTGAAAGGGAGGATCCAGACAGAAGACGATATCTGCACTGGTAACAGATTTCTACTCTCATGTATCAGTGATGCTTTTTGTAGCCAGTAGAGATACCATTCCCTGTCTGTACCTCTGGATTGCACCAAATTTATATGTAACTGAGGAGTTTTAAGAATAGAGTAGTTGAATGGTCTGGTTTTTCTTTCTTGGTTCATGTCCTAGTATCAGTGGTCAGTTGTGATGAAGTCGTTTTTGACTGTTCTTGCTTCTTGTTGAATTCGAGTAAAGGAGAGAAGCAAACGATGTCTGCTTCTTATTGAATTCGGGTCACCGTGATGTATTTTTGAGACCTTGGTTTGTGCTTAGCAGACTAAGTTTCTTCTCTGGGACATGAGTTCGTAGGTTAACAAAAACGTTTCTGCAATCTAGATGCCAAGAAAGTTCAAATCAGTATCCCTTTAAAGCTCATTTAAAATTGTTACTCTTATTCATCGCCAAAACGATCTTTTCCATATTATCAATCGAGTATAGTTCCTCGAGCAGTGAATATCTGACTCAGACGGTATAACTTTGCCCAGCACGGTAGGTCGACAAGTAAGCTGTTTGAAAAAGGAGTAATCCGATAAATTGAAGCATTTCAGGGGCCCATTAACCAGTACATTTAAGCAATACAAGAGCCCATTAAGCAACCGAAATCCAATAGTTAAGCAATAAAAGAGCCCATTTTAACCAACCGATTGATGACAAGAAAGACGACGTCGTATATGCTTGCAAATTGGTCGTATTATGTTTAGCCCGTGTTCGGCACATGTCACATGTCTATCACGTGTATGGCAAAGATAAATACGAAAACAACATATACGACGTCAACACTTTTCTTGTAGCGACAAATCTATTAAAAAAAGTGAATGATGATGTGATATTAATAATGGAAAAAAAAAAAAAAGGAAACGATAATTACCACAAAAAAAAGAGGATAATATCAAAAGATTGGTCTCGATATTTGATATGCATGTATAGAAAAAGAAAATTTATAAGCCAAACAAGGATTCAGGCTTTATGTATAAATATCAAAGTATAGAAACTTGAAGGAAAATAAGAAACTAAGTTATAAGAGATGGCATCGTTGAGAAAACGAAAGAGATCGAAAAGAGCTTTTTATGTTTTTGGTAACGAATCTAAGAGAGCTTTGAAGTGGATCAAAAGAAGAAAAGTCAACGATGATGTTGATATTAATAATGGTGATCATGCAACAAAAAATACAAATATCATCGATGATTTACCTGAGACCTTGCTTTTGGTTGAGATTTTCTCAAAGCTAAGTAACCCTAGAGATCTTATTGTATGCAAAAGCGTGAGCAAACGATGGAACTCTCTGTTATCTTCTTCTTCTTTCCATTACACTCGTAGTTTGGCTTTGGTCCTCAACAACACACAACCTCAACTTGCTACGAACGACACATGCTTAGAGAGTTGGAAAGGATTCGAGTTATGCAACTATATCGATCTCGATTTTGACCATCCGCTTTGTGTTCTAGCGTCCTACAAAGATGTCTTGTTATGCATGAAATCTCCACCGGTTAAGAGGCTAAGGCGATCACAATCACAATTCTACATTGTGAATCCCGTGACAATGCAATGGACTCGTCTTCCAAAATTTGCCAATGGAATCATTGATGTCATCCCAACGTTTCCATTAGGGTTGACAGGGAATGGGTCAAAGGGTACGTACTATGTTGTCATGCTGAATCTTTCTAAACCTTATCTGCTTAATGTTTGTGTGTTTGATTCTAAACTCGGTAAATGGATATATAATTTTATCGAGCATCCTCGTTGGTCACCATCCGGATGGTGTCCAACGCAATACCAAGCCTTGACCTTTAATGGAGCTGTACATTGGTTAGCCGAGGATGGACCTATCGTAGCTTATAACCCTAACCATATGCGCAAATGCATATTCATCCATCGTTCCCAAGAGATGCATCATGCTTTTTATGGTGGCGGTGCGGTTGTTTCTGAGACTTTAACCGTCTCCATGGGTCATCTACGAATCATTCAATTCGTTTGCTTTAAATATCCCGGTGAGTAGTAAAAACAACCCTATGCATGTGTATATATTTATCGAAGTAAAATTATAGTTATTATAAATTAATGATGATTAATTAATTTTCTCTCTACTTTATAATTTCTTTCTAGATGATCATCACCATCTTTGTATTTGGACACTCGTGGATTACAAACAATCCATATGGAAACAAGAGCATGAGCCTGTCTATTTTAGAGACATGGTTTCTGATCTTCCATGGATACAAGACTACATGCGGGGATATAATCTCAACACAACAACTAACCAAGACAATGTGCCCATCATCATGCAATATTTCGACCTTGAAGATTATTTGGACGTTGAATATCAGCCTCCGGAAACCAAAGAACGAATCGTTTGTACAAGGCCTTTAGTTTGCCATCCAAACAATCCTCTTCTCGTTTACTTGTATTTACCTGAAACCATCGTCTCTCTTGATGTCACAACAAAGGAGCTGAGGCTAATCACCAGAGACAACGGAAGCGGCATGTCTAGTACTAGCTCTTACTGGAACCACTATGACAAGGTGATACCAATGACGCTTCACTTAGATCCTACTTTGATCCCTTGTCACGAGCATGTACTTCTGCCACGTACGTGATAATCTCACATTTTGTTAGATTTGTCCTTTGGAATTTCTAGATGACGTGGGCTTTGTGATTTTTTTTTTCTAGAACGTTATGAGTTTGTTAATTTTTATAGCCCCTCAAGATCTGAAGTTACAAATTAAAAAAAGTAATCTATCCGATCAATATGACTAAATAAAGATAGAACAAGTATAAAACGTCGATTTTCTAACACAATATGAAAGATCCAAAAAGAATATACAGGCTTAAGCTTGCACCAATCCAAAAATTAAAAAGATCTAAACTAAATTCAATATATTTACTAAATTACTAAAAAGAATAAATCTTGGTGTTCTCTACCATCTCTTATTCCATCAATCTTTTGGCATCCGGGCCGTCACTAATATCTCGCCTTTCTCGTACTCGATCGTCACCATGTCTCTTTACCATCTCTATCATAAGCACATCTAAAAAAAAAAAAAATGATGAATATCAAAATAGAAAAAAAATCAAATCAGTTAGTTTGACCCCGATTTTTGCCTCTTTTCTCAAGTTTAGGTATGAAATTCAAATAATTTGCGGTTTGGGTTGAAAATTACCCTACGAATTTGTTCACGTATGAAAATACACTCGGCAGACTGTACGGGTATTAAATACCCTTTTTCCGTTAAATTATATACCATTTGGAATTTCCCTAAGATGTGTTCCACGACTCTGAAATAACCAAAGAAACTAGAATTAGTCAACGTCTCACAAACTCAACAAAAAGTAAAAAGCAAATTTGCCTATTTATACATGCTCTATTGACAGAGGCTTTCTCCTGGAGGATGGAGAAGCGTTCTTTTACGAATTGAATAAAATTATTAGATAACAAGTACATACTAGATCAATATTGAGAGAAATATGATTCTGTGGTAAAGCAAAACTGTAACACCAGTTGGGTCTGATTGTAAGTCAACTACAGAACGCATAATAAAAAGAACAGAGAACTTAAGCAAAACATAATTCCATAGATAATAACTCTAAAGAGAAAAAAAGACAGATATGATAATTTTAGTAGCCAAGTAAGCAAAATCAAAACATAATTGTAGTCGTAGAAGTTTTAACAATAAAGACTTAAAACTAAACCCTCATGTGGTAAGTGTCTTCCCAATTGATCTTCTACAAATGGAGAAGGCCAAATACATGACCGCAACCATGTGATTAGTAGCACCATATGCAACAGCGTCAGAGCCAACTTCATAAGCGACCATAGGGGCACATATGAAGAATGATTGTTTGATAAAATGTACAAGTAATACCCAAATAGAGATGTGAGGCGTCAATGGCAAGTTCAAGAGGTCTTGCTCCAATGAGTTTACTGAGAACAGCGTCAACTGCCTGACCTAACTCTTTGGGCAGAAAAGAAAGTTTCTATGAGTCTTCATCATGGAAATTAGTTGTTGTTAGCCTCGGAAATTGGTGGAAGAGAAGGTTGAATTTGTCAACCAAGTTCAGATGTTGGATAGACAGATCGAGCTCAACACATGGAGAAAAGCAATAAACCACACTCACTCAACCAACTACGAATCTCAAGAACACTCTTCATCTAAGAACAAAGATGAAGCTACTTAGAAAAACATACAAAAATCTTGGACTATGGATTTACATAAAACAATAGCTAACATCTTGGACTGAGTGACGCAAATCTGGATGGATGATGTACTTTTTAAAGCGTTCACAACAACATCCAAGAGTACATTCAAACAACAAACAAGAAACGGTGGGTAATTTCAACACCAAAGTCATTTCTCCTCTTGGACCAAAAATGATACTCTTTGCATAACGCTGGGAAAAATGTTCACCACCACAACATGAATAGCAAAACTTATAGCCACATGATTTACAACCTAGATTGAGTCAGTCGTCAATAGGGTTGTTTTCAAATTTTATAAATTAATTTCATAGTCCGATCTTATTAATTTATAGAGATTTTATTGTATATTAGCATCCGAGACTGAACTTTCATTGCACTGAGAAGACGACTCAACGAAGTTTTGATCATGGTTTTTTAAACATCTCATGGAATTCTATGGCGTCGGATTTGGTCGCTACCAAGAGAACTCCCCGATAGATGAATCTAAACTAGCTTCATCAATATCTTTAACTACCTAAATATGGTACTAAATGTTAACATATAAAAAAAATCCACTAGATTCAACTATTTTGTTAATACCATTTGCTATCTACAAAAGATCCATTAGATTTTGGTACATATAGCAATTTAGCAATATATATATATATATGTATATATATTCTGCCAAATTCAATTGGAGTATGGTAGACAATACAAGGTGTGTTACTTTGGAGGAGTATACTGTATACAAGGTAACAGTGGCGATGACAGTCTAGATCTATACCATATACACCATGTGTCGCTTAAAGTGATTGTTGTTTTCCACCTTACGATGATAGGTTGATAAATATATAATGTTTGATGATGTGTGTGTAAAGTAGAAAAATAAAGTTTGTTCGATATCCACACGTTTAAGATCTAGTTGTAAAAGAAGAAACATAAATTTTATAATCCAAATATATTAATTTGAGATTTTTAAGTATCATTAAATTATAGAGTATTTGATTTATAAAAGAAAATATTAAACTAATCATAGAGTGATATGTATATGAGAGAGAGAGTCTCTATAGAGGATTTCTCAACTGAGAAACGATTCTAAGCATTTGAAATTATAAGATCTACTTTTATGTAGAAGTCCCCGATGAAATTTTACAAAACGTGTGATTAATTAACAAAATGTGTGATTATGTCTCTTCTCTCGTTTTACTAATGCCACGCGGTAATTAATCACACATTTTGTTAGATCTATCCATTGGAATTTCTAGATAACATGAGCTTTGTGATTGTGCCCAAAGATTGAAGAAATATATAACGTCAATTTTGTTTTCTAGCACGATATGAGTTTGTTAATTTTTTATACCCCTTCAAGATCCAAAGTTAAAAAGTTTCCTTGAACTATCATTCATTTCAACCAATCAGCTTTATTCCTTTCTCATGTAAGATTCACTTTGTTCTAGCTAATATGACTCTTTTAAGTTGACTAATTTTAGTTGACATTTTTAAAAGGTCATAATAAGTAGTCTTTGTGAATCACCCGCACCCACATGGACGCATCCACATGAGTCATGACAAGTGTTGGGGTATAAAAGCATTTTAAAATTGATGCAATCAGCCAATCACTTTACAATAAACGCAATCAAAATTGGTTTAAAAATCCTATTTTGGATTCTAATCTCAAGGTCCCAGTGAAGGGGTTACAGGCTCATCTTCCTCCCATGTGATAAAAATAATCAACACATCCCACAAAAGCATGCAAATCACTCATAGCCTCTTCTTGTTTATCCAATCCAACATGCTCGAGAAAACCCTCAAGGAAGTCAAGTCCTTACAAATACAACTCAAATCCACAAAGTATCCAAATCATATTATAGTAAAAATAAAAAGTTAAGAACTTAACAGCTACACAAGACTACAAGAGGCACGAACCTGATACTAGATGAGCCTAACAGATTACACAATACACCAACATACAAACAAATCCCATTCTCTAAAAGTGTAAATCACTCCTATGATTCGATTCACACATCAAGGTTAAGTTAAACCGTCTGTTCGGGTTATGTTTTTTCTTATTGCAGAAAAGAGAAGAAAGATAAAACTAGTCCTTTCTCTCTTTCTCACCTTCATCCTCTGTGTTTTCCCCATTCTCATCATCATCACTCATTTCGTTAATGGCATCTGTAATGATATCCTTCACCTCTGCTTTTCTATGCATAAGATCAACTCCAAAATGGCTCCCTAGTATTATCACAACCAGGAAAAGAATGTTTCAATAAAAAAACGTTTCCTGCAGATTTAGAAGACGATAACAATTATAGATTGAAGTTAAAGAGAAAAGCTTTACAGAAACATACCAAGCTTCCGCAAAATATCAGATAGAGTTGCCTGTTTCGAAACAAAATTCATAATGTCTTTGAGTTCAAAGGTTTTGTAAACGGTTTATAATCTGTTAAATCTCAATCTATTGAAGTCTTACCGTATTGAAGTCTACTTCCTTCAGAATTTTGGCCACCACCACATGCAGTTCTTTTTTTGTGGGTTCTTTTTTACCTTTCTTACGGGATTTTCCTGTACCGGCCATAGTCAATGAAATAGAGAGATTCAATACACTATGAAAATGTGTGATATTTAAGCTTTCAAAACAGAGCTGAGAAATCGTTCAAACCTTGATCTTTGGATCCCTTTGCATGTGGTTTACTTGTCTGTGTCTTGCCTTTCTCTTTAGAGGAATCGTCTTTATCAACCTTTTGCTTCTTGCTTGATGATGAAGTTGATTTATCGATTTGTCTGGAGGACTTTCGACTAGATTTTGCAGAACCTTTAATAGATTTCTCCTCTTCAGCTGCTGGTTTCTCCTTCTTAGTCCTTTTTGACAAGCTTTTCTTATCGGTTGACTTAGTCTTCTCCTTGGCTTTATCTTTCTCATCTTCAGTTTCGGTATCTTCATTTTTGTTGTTTTCTTCCTCTGGAGCTACATCATCTTCTCCATGAGAGTCATTTGTTCCTTCGGAACCAACATCAGCCTCACCGTTTCCAGCAGTCTCAGTTGGCTGTTCTTGTTTCTTTCCAGAATTCTGCGCCTGCCTTCCCCTCTGTATATATCAAACAGAATAGCAGACACAGTCAGTGATTGTTTATGCAATCTTCATCAAAGACTTAAAATCAAGCCACGCAGAGACAGAGACTTGTTCGAGAAATCTACACATGTTTTGTTTTCTTGTAGAATCTTACGGTTTACAGAAGGTTCAAAGCCATATCACACAAGGAGCTAAATGAGGAAAACTAAATAACAAGAACATGGGAATGCCATTGAGTAGATAAAAGTATTAAGCTAGTGCTAAGACTATCCAAAAAACTTCACTGAGCGGCCTAATAATACCCTTGTTGACTAAAAACCAGCCAATTAAAAGTGATCAAGCCATGGAACTTATCTTGGATTTCCTGCTATTCGCAAATTTTCTCATTATGGTATTACACATTGCTTAATAATTACTGCATACCAAATGGCAGCTGTAAGTACAACTAATAAATTATGAAATATAAAAACATCTGATTACAACGCATTGATGCAATCTGGAAATTCATTTACAATGTGAGTTGCAGTAACTGATAAGGGAGCGCAGACACAGCTACTCATACCATAAAGACCTACTGGTTCATAACAAAAATATTGACTACAAAACTAGAAAAGGAGCTAGTTTTACCAGCCAGGAGCTAGAATAAACAAATCAGGTCAAGGACTACAAACTAAAAAGAAAATAAAGGTTAACAATTACAAACCTTGGCAGGGAGATCTGATGATTCTCCAGAGGTCACGTTCTTTGGTGTGCTCTTCTTGCGCTTTTTAGTTTCCTATATTATGTATTCAAAGAAAGGAGATAACAATTCAAAACCCCATATTGAATATAAAAAAAACAATGGAGAACAGTCACAAGATTCAGCTGCTAAGTTAGAGTACCTTTTCACTATCGGCAAGTAGAATATCCCTTGTTGCTTTGGGACATACCAAAAATTCAAGCACTCTTACAGCCAGTTCTTCCTGAAGGATATCAGAACAGATGTATGAATATAAAATCGAGAAAGAGACAAATAGATAGATGGACTAAATCTTCTTATCACTTACCTTTTTCACAGTACTTTTGTTTATTGGTATATCAAGCACATCACAGAAATCAATCAACTTTTCTTTGATACATTTCTCAAGCTTCTCCTTTGCTTTTGCTCTTTGCTTCTCCTCCTGGAAAACATTTAGATACCACACTCAAAACAAGACTGATCATAGACACATCCTTGGAACTAAATATCTAAGAGATGATGTACAGTTACCTCTTGCTCTGACCAAACAAAACCCGAAAACTGACCAATGTTTTTCTTCAGCATCTGTGCCTGCACATCATTTTTCACACAACCCTTGAGTAATCAATCATGCACTCTGGCAAAAGTGAACAAAAAGTGAAACTTCAAGATAATATTAAATGAAGCACCTTTCCTTTTTTGCCGTAAAGAATGGTGTGAAGTAAGAAGAGGTTGTCGTCAGGTTTTCTCTTGGACAGTTTATAAGCCACTGAAACAGTTAACAACTCTATAAGACAACATTCTTATAAAAGAACTAAAATTTACACTCTCTAAGTAAACACATAAAAGAAAGATACAAAACAGTTCCTCATCTTGGAGATGAAGTTGGCTCTCAAAGAGAACACCAAATCTAAATCTAATAAGGTAACAATCCAAATCACCAAATGTGTTTAATTTACATACCATTTGGAATTTCCCTAAGCCGTGTTCCACGACCCTGAACCAACCAAAAGAAAACAAGAACTATTCATCATCCAATTCTGGAAATTCTCACAAAACTCAACCCAAAAAAAAAGATAAAGGAAGCAACTTTTCATATTTATACCTGCTCAATTGACACAGGCTTGTTCACAGAGGATGGAGAAGGAGTGTCTATAATGTAACGGCCAGTCCTCTTTCTCTCCCTTATAGGTCTCTCACTGACTGGAGTCACCGGCGATTTAACTCTTTCTCCATCATTTTCTTCTCCTTTCTCTTTCATGGCCTCATCTTTCTCTACTTCATCCTTCTTCTTATTATCTGCGTCTTCACTTACTGGAGCTTCCTTCTTCTCTGTATCCTTCTCGGTAACAGCAACTGTATCAGCTAAGTGTGGTGTTTTCAATTCTAGGGTTTCAGTCGCCATGTGGAGACGACTAAAGCAGTGGTGAATAAGGGAGAAAGATGATGGAGTGAAAAAAAAAAAGAGAGAATCGAACTAAAGGGTAAAGCAAAATAAACCCTAAATTTCAGAGCTTTTGAGAGAAATTCGAAAACTAAAATTTGGGGATTTCAAAAATTTTGGTGCCAAAAGATGAAACCAAAGGCTCGCTCACCAAATTTCACAGCTATCCCATAAATTTATTACAGCAGGCAATGAATTTTGTCGGGACTGGAACTTCGGTTCTTCGGTCAGTATGGTTAACCCAAGTAAATTAAAAGGTTGCCGAAACTTATGGAAATAAAATTTGGTTTGGTTCGGTTCTATTCAAAACAAAATTAACCAAATTTTTACTTCTTTTTTTTTTGTTTTCAAATCCGGTTTTTTCCGCTCATTTTTGGATAACTTTGATTTTTCTGTTAAATTTTGGTTTGATTATCAACGAAAATTGGTTTAAATCTGGTAAAAACAGTCTTATTGAGGCGCTCACGTTTTGAGGTGCGTTTTCAACATTATAAACGTACAATCATGAAAAACTTTTGAGCGTTCTCAACTATCTTAATGTAAACGCAAAAATATCAAAGATACGTGGTATTGCGACTGTAGATTGTAATAGGTTTCATCCAGTAAAAAAGGTTGTCTTAGGCAACCTAATATATGAAATACATAAATAGTATAAATTCATCTTTTACGCAATCTATTGTCAAAAGGGGAAATGCATATTTACGACCAAAGTTTCTCACATGCAAAAGCATTTTTCTCCCCTTTTTTGTCTCTATATAACAAGGAAATAAATTGACAAAAAAAAGGAAGAAAACAAAATAGAGGAAAAAACATACAAAAAAGGAAACAAAAATATGTGCAGCGTAGAATAAGATATCTCACCAAGTCAAATTCTTTACACCTACTTTGAATTGTGTGGCAAGCATATCTTCCGTGTAACAATCTCACAACTCACGTGGCTCAACCATACCAAAAATACCAATGGAGTTAAAGACTCCATTCTCAATATAAATCTCTCTCTCACACACACACCAATAATACACTCTCAACTCTCAATCTTATCATATCTCACCAACTAACCAACCAACCAATCATGGATTCCGAGATCGCCGTCGACTGCTCTCCGTTGCTCAAAATCTACAAGAGTGGTCGCATCGAGCGACTCATGGGTGAAACCACCGTCCCACCTTCTTCCGTCCCACAAAACGGTGTCGTTTCCAAAGACGTCGTTTACTCTCCCGACAACAACCTCTCCGTCCGCATTTACCTCCCGGAGAAAGCCGCCGAGAACGGTGAGAAACTCCCTCTCCTCGTTTACTTCCACGGCGGAGGATTCATCATTGAGACCGCTTTCTCTCCAACTTACCACAGTTTCCTCACGGCGGCTGTCTCTGCTTCGAACTGTGTAGCGGTCTCTGTTGATTACCGTCGTGCACCGGAGCATCCGATTTCGGTCCCGTTCGATGATTCTTGGACAGCTCTCAAATGGGTATTCACTCATATCACCGGATCTGGTCAAGAAGCTTGGTTAAACAAACATGCTGACTTCAGCAAAGTGTTTCTCTCCGGAGACAGTGCAGGAGCAAACATCGTGCATCACATGGCGATGAGAGCTGCGAAAGAGAAACTCTGTCCTGATTTGAACGATACAGGGATCTCTGGAATCATCTTGGTTCATCCTTACTTCTGGTCGAAAACACCAATCGACGAGAAGGACACGAAGGATGAAACCATGAGGATGAAGATAGAGGCGTTTTGGATGATGGCTAGTCCCAATAGCAAAGATGGATCAGATGACCCGTTGCTCAACGTGGTGCAATCAGAGTCGGTGGATTTGTCTGAGTTAGGTTGTGGTAAGGTTTTGGTAATGGTGGCTGAGAAAGATGCGTTGGTGAGGCAAGGTTGGGGTTACGCGGCGAAGCTTGAGAAGTGTGGTTGGAAAGGAGAGGTTCAAGTGGTGGAGAGTGAAGGAGAAGATCATGTTTTTCATTTGTTGAAACCTGATTGTGATAATGCTATTGAAGCCATGCATAAATTCTCAAGGTTTATTAAGGGAGAGAACTAGCTTTGTGCTCTATAGATATTGGAATAATTTGGTACTACATATTTTAGTTGCGTCTCTCAGTTTCTGTAATGTTTCAGTGATTAGCATTTCCGCTAAAGCAACACAATAAACATTGAAGATTAATATTTAGTAAGAGATGTTTAACTCTATTACATTATAACACTAAATTATTAACTTTTCCAATTGTTAGAGGACACAAAGAAGTTTTTCACTTTTCAGTTTTCACCATTATCATCTTCATAGAAAGTTTGAACACAAGGATATGAATTTAAACAAAACAAACAGAGAAGACAACATTTGAAACACAGCTCTGCTCTTTTTGTTGTTCCGCAGCTACTTTATTCAGATCAAATTCCAAAAACGAAGAAGCTTTCTTAATGAGGGAAGTAGCCAGAACCCTGGAAGAAGCTTTCTAGACGGCGATTCCAAGGGATTTCTTGAACTTCTCAACCTCTAGATAGATAGTTGAGTAAGGTAAGAACTCTGAGAAGTAATCTCCACTTAGGTGGTTAATGGCAACAGCGAGTTTCGGGATCTCTAAGGTTTCTTCATTGGTGAGTGTTCGAATAAACCTTGCTGGATTGCCTCCCCAGAGTTCACCAGATGGGATTCTTCTGCCAGGTGGCAAAACAGAACCAGCTTCTAGGATTGAGCGGGTCTCAACCAGCGAACCTTCCATTAGGATTGAGTGTTGCCCGATGATGCATTCGGGTTCGATAGTGCATGATCTTAAAAGACTGTATGCACCAACTGTCACGTACCTATCTATCAATGTCTGTGCTGGTAATCCTGAAAACTCCAAAGTAGAAAAGTAACTTCTAAGGTCAGATGTTTTATCTATCATATCAGAAAAACAGCACAAAGAGATGCTCTACCCTTCAAGATGTTAAGATAGAAAATGCAGGAAGCCTGTTTGACATTACAGAGCTAATGACTAGAAAAGATGGTGATTCAAGTAATTAAGTACTAGTTGTACACTTCAAAGATAACTCGAAGTATGTCAATGTTAAACTAGAGCCTAATCAAACAAGGAGGTTTTTGTACTTCAAACATTGACACGGAATTAAACCTTGGCAAGACTACAAAGAAGCTACACTCACAAGGCTTGATGCAACTTAGAACCCCGGTTCTATCACAAAGTAGAAAGTCAATTTCGTTCAGAAATTTCTTTTGCAAATTATAAAACTTTACTGTGACATTGTTCCAGAACTTATACAGAGCATCAGAGAAACTTCCTACAACACAAGATGGTCATTTGTAGTGTTATCCACCGTACTCAACTCTTGAACAACCTAACTCTCAAGATCAAGCACAACAAGTCTTCAACGAGTTTCTTGTTGCCTGTATCACTAATCACCTAAAGACTACGCAATTCTATGCATCCTAGTCTAGTTAAACGAAAAATGCTCTGAAGAGTAACTTTACTAAACAACTATCCAAAACCAATATGCTTACTTACACTACACTACTTCAAATACAAGTGTAAAATCACCTTAAACGTGAGACTCTACATTTTATATAATCAAATTGGACGATGAAACTAAAAACCCTAGATTTCAATATCAATGATTCCAATTCGCTAGCAGGTAGTAACTACAGAAATTGGATATCCAGAACTCAACCTCTAATTTAAACACACGTAACAAGCTACAATGGAACCATACAGAGACTCAAATTCCAAAAATTGACAAAGAACAAGAACCTGTTGGCGACGACCACGCAGCATGAACAACACACCGTTCCTGAACATTAGAGCAGAATCCAACGGTGATCTTATTGAGATCTCCTCTCAAAACGGCACCGTTCCATACAGAGGAGCCGTCCCAGACGGTGACCTGACCAGCCAACACAACGTTAGGTGCCACGTAAGCATCTACAGCGACCTTCGGTAGCCACTGTCCCAGAGGAATGATCTGTCTTTGTCCTCTGTAGTCCCATTTCACCCGATCCGGCGACGGCGAGACTTGCGATTTCGGTTTAGGTGTTTCCGTCGTCGCCACCGCAACTGCTTCCGCGGCGAAGTAACGCCGAATCAGATTCGAAGACACAGCCGATGTGACGCTTCTTTTAGAGATTCGAGCTAACGAAGTCGCCATTGTTATGGAATCGGATTCTTCAAGAATTTGTGGAGAGATATAGAGAGAGCTTCCCGGAGGAGGAGACAGAGAGGGGTCGTCGGGAGATTCTTCTAAATCTAAAAAATGAACAGTTCGGAAAGTTTTTTTGGGCCTTTATGGGCTAAGTTAGTATAGGCCCATTAGTTATGCCGTAATCTGCAACAAAACTTTTTTTTGTTATAATCACTCTTTAAGCAAGCTACATATGCTTAAATAGCCAAATATGTAGGTGTATGTAGTTACAACATTGTTAGTAAATTTATGACCATGGCAAAAAACATACGAGATTACGAGTATACCAAAAAGCTTAGCATTGTTTATTTTAAACTAAAGATAGAAAAAATCTACTGCAAGGAAAATCGTTTGGATTATTGGGCATTGTGATCACTAAAATCAATAGACGAACTTCTTAGACCTCGAAGCTAATAACTGGCTCGCAACATGTTGATCAATTGTGTAGCCTTCACTTGTGTGTTGATGATGTAGTAGTAGCAATGCGCTCGCAGTTGTTCTTGAGAAGAGGAGGGAAGAAAGGGTTCAACGGAAACATACGAGGCCAACAGTTTGTGTCTATTGCTAAAAATATTTTACAACATGCGGCTTCAATGTTTGCAAATTGACCAGAAAAGATCGAATTGTAGATTTCTTGCACACATCCTTGGACGTTAAAGAGAGATGACGAACATTTTACGATGTCAATAGGAGAACCCGGTGGAAAAATTTCAGGGATATGAGGGAGTATTTGAGCTAACCCTGGCCTCACTTGAAGAACAATGACCATAGCTAGGATCACAAAGAGAATACCTCCTGATTTGTTTTCCATCTCTCTCAGGTTGTTTTTTTTTTTCTTCTTTTTATGTTTTTGCAATGATGCTAAAAAAATAGTTAGATGCTTGGATGATTTTGGCAAAATGGACGAAACTTAGATTTTATAGGGTCATAAGATGAAAAACGGTGGCATTTAGTTTTTAAAAACGTTAGCATCTAATGAAGGGGTCAATATTCAAGTTTTCCTTTGAAATGTAACTCTTGTCGAAGATTGTGTTTTTTGTTTGGTGTTGTGAGTCATTCAAATAAATCAATGTTGATCGAATGGACCAAAGTTTGTGATGACATATTACAATGATATTATGTTACATTTTATTACTCATTGTCCAGTGAGATCATACTCCTACAAATGTTACAATGAAACATCGATGCAAGACATCAAAGTTGTGTCCATTATTCACCTAAGTTCTGAGAAGAAAAACAAACAGAATCCACCAAAGTTTGATCAAACCAAACACATTGCTCTGCAACTTAAAACCGCAATGGCTTTTTATTCAGTCCCATGTCTGTCCTCTTGCAGCTGCAAAACATCAATCAAAATCCTTATGAGCAAATTATATTTGCAAAAGAAAAACATATTTTTGTTCGGTTATCAAAAAAGGTTTAAACCTTTAAGCCATTCCGCGCTTGCGTTTGGCCTTTTCCCATTGATCAAGTAAACAAGTGACACCTTCTTCAAGTGTAGCCTTCCTATCTTCTTTTAAGTTCCATAGCTCTGTTGTAATATACCTTCCACTCGGGTTATACTCGTTTATCTCCAACAAAGCTTTCGTGACTGCATTGTATGGACCATCTCCCAAATCTGCCTTTAGCTCCCTCAGCTTTTCGTCTGTATCATCTATCACTTCCTACACCCAATTACACCACAAAAAACTTTTAATCTTTCAGAGAGATTCTCAACATAACAAACCGGGTCAAGAAGGCGGTCTTACCACTTCTCTATCTTGATTTTCGAGCTTGATCCGCTTGTATGGATGCCAATCTGGATCTTTGAGATAGTCTTCCCAAAGTTGGAGAACTTCAACTGCTCTGTCCTCCACATCTTGCTGACAATACTTCTGCTGCATTGCATCCACGAACGGTTTCGTCACGAGCTCTCCCATTCTCTTAACACCGATAGTTGTTTTCCATTCTTTCATAATCTACAAAGTCACATGAAAGATGAAACAAACAAAACCAAGATTTAGGTAAATGTCAAGCTTTCTCAGAGCTTTTCGATATGATTGAAAAGAACAACACTTTGATACATACGTTTACCAATTCTTTACGAGCTTCTTGAAGCTCATCGTTGGTCCTGCGCTCTCTAAGGATAAGAGTTTGGTTAAATTTATCGAGGTCTTCGAGTTCTCCTTCCTTCTCACCTAAATCTTTATAGATGATTTCCACCTTTTTCACAATTTCAGCATCGCCGTCTGATCCCATGTGCTTCATCACATTAAGCTGTCCTTTCAACTGCTCAACCTCTAGCTCAATCGCTTGTTTCTGATCTCTTTGTCTTTCTAGTCTTATGATTTTCTCATGAAGCTCCTCCTTTTGCCTCTGTTAAGTAGACATCAACGCATGGTCTTTCTCAATAATCATAAAAATAAATAAGTCCAACCATTTTTACAAAGAAGAAGAAAGTTACTAACCCTTTGGTCTTCCGCAAGTTTTTTAACTTCCTCGTCTGCCTTTTGTTGTTCCATGGCTGCTAGTTCAAGAGAACTATTCTTAGATGCGTTCTGATAAGAGAAAAACCAATTATTTCTTGAACTTTTATCTTAAAAAGAGAGATACAGAGAGTAAATGGATACCTGTTCAAGATCTTCAGTCAATTTCTTTCTCTCGGTTCCATTGTGCACTTCGCGCTTTGCCAACTCATTACCTTTGATTTCGAGCTTCTTCTTCTCTGACTCCAACAGCCTCTTCAATTTCTCATGATCATCAACTATCTTTTGAATGTGACTCATTGTTCTCTCTTGTATAGCATTCAGCTCTCGGTAATGCTTTTGTTCATTCTTCTCCTTCTCTTCCATCAACTGATTAAGTTCCTTTGACTTCACTGAACACAGCTCCTCAATCTGCTTCATGTCTTTCTTCTTTTCTTCTACAAGTTGTGTCAGATTCTGCACTAACTTTTGCTGTTTCCTCGCCTCTTCTTCTGTAAGCTCAGCTATAGTTTTGAGATCACCCGTCTTCCTCAAGTTTTCTCCGATAATATTATTACCGTTATAATCATCAGCACGAGCAATCCACGCGTAAAGACCCATCTTGGGACAGTCTTTTTTCAACCAGTCCTTCTTTCCATGACCGTCTACTCGATAAGCCTTGTCAAACAAAAGACCATTGTGAAGTCCATTCCAATCTTTGTTAAACTCAACAATAGCTGTTCCTGAATGTCCCCAGTAATTCCATAAAGGACGAACTCTAGTCGGGTTAAATCCTCTTAGAATGTACTCATCCCTTAGCTTCGATCCACTCTCACCCGCAGATCGACCATCTTGTGCCTTTGTAGTTGGAATATTAACCACAATACCTGATTCAACCACATATACACAACCAATAAACCCACATTGCAATGAAAGTAAGAACCTTTATATACATATCCAATAAACCTCCATTACCCCAATACTCATATCTTAAGATAAGCTAACAAAGTGTGTTCCTTTAAAGTGTGTACCTTTCCAAGGATACACGAGCTTCTCGTCCTGATCACAATCTTGAATAGAGTTTCCGTTTTTCTGACGCTTCGATGAAGGCTCTGCTTCAACAGCTGAATCAGCAAGATCCTGTTGAAGGTATTTGACAAGAGCAAGGTGACTTGCTTTCTCCTTTGAACTTCTTTTATCTGAATTGCTATTACCAACTCCAGCAGCATGTTGAAGGAGATCTTTGTATTGAAAACTAGGTTTCTTCTTGTTTGGACAATAAGGACAGACAAAAGTTTGAGGAGAGAGTCTCACTTTGAGCTTCCCACCTTTAAGATTTAAGTACATTTTGTCTCCATACTCATCCATTTCAGATTCACTAATATCTGAATCTTCATCATCTGAGCTCAAAATCACAGTGCTCCCCATCTTGTTCCTTGATTAAAGTTACAATCAAAAGTGAAATTCTTTATCAAAACTCTGAACTTGCTTTTGAATTTCAACAATGCAACTCAATTCCATTACTTTTATAAACAAAATTTGATTCCTTTAACCCTCAACTGGGGTTTTTGCATCATTAAGTGAATTGCATGTTTGAGTTTTACAAAAATTATGAAGATAAGCTTGTAATCAAAGAGTTTTTCAGAGGCTTGAGTTAGACAGTGAGTTCGAAATCAGAAGAGATCGATCGTAAAACCTAAATCTATGATTTGTCTTAAAGAATGCAGAACACAAAAAAAAAAAAAAAAAAACAGAGTAGTTGGGGAAACTTACAGGCAGAGGCTGGTGATGGGTGCTCACTGTTCAGTGTCCGGAAGAAGAAGCTTTCTCTCCTCTCTCGTCACTTATTTTGGGTCGTCCTTTATTTCACCTAGGGTTGAAGTGAAATTAATTGTCCTTTTTTCATTTTTATTTTTACATCACACATTAAAGTGAAAATAAAAAGTCAATAAAAGTGAAGATGAGAGAGAACATCGAATATTACGTCTTTTGTTCTATCCAAATCAACTTTTTTATTTTTCAAATCACCTAGCATATCTTTCTTTTTCCTTAAGTGGAAGAGCTTAATGGCTAATGGATGAGACTTTACTTAAGTAAATTAATTGTAATTTGTCATTGGTATTTTTCTTCTTCTTGAAATAGTCATTTTATTGTCTTGATTCTTACGTTCTTGGAATCTGTAGAAACATTGTTTATGCCATTCACTGCAATTTACAATGAGCTAACGAAAACAGTTTTTAGGATAACATGTTTTGTGTGTTCGCGTGGTGTCGACGCTCTTTACTCATTCGCATAACGGGACACGGACTGATTCATTTGCAAAAGTTACATCGTACGCAGTGAAATCGTCTTACTGGTCCTACTACTCTTGTTTACTTTCAACGTTCAATCACATCACATAAGATGCAACCGGATCGGGTCGGCTTCTTCCAGGTGGATCATATGTTGGCCCATTAAGAACGTAATTTTAAAGCCCATTCATATGTTGGCCCATTAAGAACGTAATTTTAAAGCCCATTTTCTTTTTACAAACCATTAGACGCTGCCAGAAGAAGGTTAGCAAGTTTTGTGTCTCGTTTAAATGTTTGTTACCTTAAATTGTATTCTTTTTTTTTTTTTCTTTTTTTTTTTTTTTTCTTTTTTTAAATTGTATTCTTGGTCAACATATTTTACTAAATGCGATAATTAATGAAAGATAGGAACGCTAATTTAACAGTCAAGCAAAATCAAAGGCCAAGCAAAAGAATCTCGACATTTGTTTCACAAAGAACCGAACCAGACTAACCAAATCCCGAAGAACTCGAGATGCAGAACTGAGTAACACAACATGTTAGTACTCAATTCCAATTTGAATTCGTATACCAATAAACCAAACTAAGGCCAAAAACGAATTCTAAACAACCTCATCCAAGTTAGTGTCATTTGACAAGGAACGGCGCCTAACTGCCTAGTGCCTACCATCACATTCAAATCAACCTTATAACCAGATTAAACCGGAAACCAAACCGATAATCATACAGAGCAGAATTTGAAATTAACTTAACGCATATTCAGATTCACATATTCCACAACGTTTTGACAAGACACAGAGAAGAAAGAAAATCCAAAACAAACCATAAACTAAACAACCGGGGGAAGTTACGAATCCGGTACGGTACAATTAACCGGTATAGATATGGAGACGAATGGCGATGGTGAAGATGGTGATAAGACCGAAGAAAATGATGGTGTGAACGAGAATCGACGCTCCACTAGTCTGCATATTACCAAATTCAACAACACGACCTCTCGCCGGAATCTGAAAGAGAAGTCCCGGAGTCAAAAGAACGAACAATATCACAGCGATCACTACGGGTCCCCAATCCGCCATACTTTGCCACTAGAGAGAGAAATGACAGAGAAGCTAGAGAGAAAATGGTTTGAGAGTTTATTTTTTGTTGTTGTTGTTTTGTTTTGTGATTTTGAAGAAACCAAAACTTCCTCGTGCGGTGTGGAAAAATAAACGGCCGGTGGCGATGTCACGTGCGGATACGTTGTTTTCGAAGGATGTGACACGTGAGCCCGTGACTAATGTTTCAATTCAAACTTAAGAGTTAACGACTTGCTGGTTATAATAGAAATTGGGCTGATTTAAGATCCAGATCAGTTTTATCTCTGGCCCAATGTCGATACGGTGTCGTCTGTTTCCTACTGTACTAGTTAGCTTCATGGCTTCTTCTCTTCTTTTGTTTCTCGAAATTTGTTCTATAATTTTGATATAGACTTAAGTATAGGTGTGATACACAATTCACTATGTTCTTTTTGTTAAAAAAAAGTTTAGCTCCGAAGATGTGAACGCTGATCAAAATGCAAATAATATATTTAGCAGAAAAAATTATAATGTACCTTCAATTCAAAACCTTTGTAATTCAGTACTATGGGTGAGAGAGATTAAATATATTTTTAGAATGGGTTAGAAGACAAACTTAAAAAGCTTATTATGTTCAATTGACCATTATATTTATATATTATGAATGTGTTCACACGACCAAATCTAGTTGGTTGCATGAGGTTATCAGTTCACTTACTCACGAGCTCAGTGGTGAACTTGTGGTGGGCGATTCTTTCCAGTCCCTTGTTTTTGTCTTCTTTTTTTTGTTTTTTGTAATAAGATCATGATTAAGAGCGAAGAAATGAAATTGTTCCTCAAAATCTTCTAATGTCACATCTCACGTATAACTTTTATTGATTTCGTTTTTACGTAATTATTTAATTTACAAAATATATGGTAAATTAAAAGCACTAAACTTGAGGGGGAAAAACTAAAAATACTAAACATTTTAATGGGAGAACGAAGAAGCATAAGCATTGGTTCTTCCTTTTAACTCCCAAATTCCAATTATTTTTTCCTTAATGGAAAGATCAGTGGGGCACATTAGACAAAAGTAACTACCATGATGATGATTTTTTTTTGGTAAAACATATTTAAAGTATACTAATACTCTTTTTCAATACTCTTGGTACAGAGAATTTATACAATACTCCTTAAAAAAAATCAGATATAAAGTTATAAACATTTTTATAGATTGTGGATCCAATTTTTGTTTTTAAAGTTATGATATACATTTGTCAAGATGTCACAACTAGTAAACTATTTAGAACTCTAGGAATCCACTTGTAACACTAACATCTACAAGAAAACAACATCAACCCTGTGGTCATTTAAACCAAAAAAAAAAAAAAAAAAAAAAAACCTGTGGTCATCTACGTGGTTTTCTCAAGACCAACTCTTCACGGCTTCACGTGCATATATAGTTCCAAGTTTTAAAATTTAGCTACAAATAATAAAATGAGCCAAAATTTCGGAATTTCATTGACCGAGTAAATCTCTGCGTTTTTTAGTTACTTTTTCTCAGTGAGAACAGAATCTTCTTTTACATATCGAGCCCACCTAAATCAAAGCAGTAGTAGTGGAAACAAATAAAGCAGTAAATAGACACCATAGCTTTTTGTTCTTGCTCTGTACACTTCACATTTACCCAAAATCTTTATTATTTTTTATTTTTTTCACTTTTCTCTTTTTGTTTTCTGGTTACAAAGGGACAATTATCTCTTCATTGTCTTTATGTTCTTCTTTCAAGAAAGAAACCAATCTAAGGCAAAACAAAACCACAGAACAAATCCTACACCAAAAGCTTAACCTGATTTTTCTCAAGAAAAACCCATTCATGAAACCATCATCAGCTTCAAGATTTTCTTTAACTTTCTCACACTTTCTTACACTCTACTGTCTTCTCACACAAACCCATGTAGCTCAAGGATCCCATCAATGGCAATCACCAATCAAAACCGTCGTCGTTTTAGTATTGGAGAATCGATCTTTCGATCATCTCTTAGGATGGATGAAGAACTCAGTAAACCCGACAATAAACGGTGTAACGGGTCAAGAATGTAACCCGGTTCCAAATTCTACACAAACCATTTGTTTCACTAGTGATGCTGAGTTTGTGGATCCGGATCCGGGTCATTCGTTTGAAGCAGTTGAGCAACAGGTTTTCGGGTCCGGGTCGGGTCAGATCCCGTCGATGATGGGTTTTGTAGAGCAAGCGCTTTCCATGCCGGGAAATTTGTCGGAGACTGTAATGAAAGGCTTCAGGCCTGAAGCTGTTCCGGTTTATGCCGAGCTGGTTAAAGAATTCGCTGTGTTCGACCGGTGGTTTTCTTCGATTCCTGGTCCGACTCAACCGAACCGGTTATTTGTCTATTCGGCTACTTCACATGGTTCAACAAGCCATGTCAAGAAACAACTCGCTCAAGGGTACATTATCAAATTCTTTCTTTATTTTTTTGTTAAAGATAATCAAATTCTTTCCTTAAATTTTTATTTTTAATTAGTCCTTGCAAGTTTAATTTCACACTTTATTGCTGAATTTTTAAGACTAGTTTCCATAGCAAATATTGAGATATTAAAAACTAGTACTATATAAATTTGTGTATAGAGGACGAATTTATGTATCATCAATTAATTTCAGGTATCCACAGAAGACTATCTTCGATTCGCTCCACAGCAACGACATTGACTTCGGAATATACTTTCAGAATATTCCGACCACATTGTTTTACCGTAACCTCCGACAACTAAAATACATTTTCAATTTGCATCAATACGATCTAAAATTCAAGAAAGACGCAGCAAAAGGAAAGTTACCGAGCTTAACCGTCATTGAACCGAGGTATTTCGACCTCAAGGGCTTACCGGCCAACGATGATCACCCTTCGCATGACGTGGCTAACGGTCAAAAGCTGGTTAAAGAAGTGTACGAGGCACTTAGGGCGAGTCCACAGTGGAACGAGACACTCCTAGTCATAACTTATGATGAGCATGGTGGGTTCTATGATCATGTCAAGACTCCTTATGTCGGTATACCAAACCCGGATGGAAATACTGGACCGGCTCCTGGTTTCTTTAAATTCGACCGGTTAGGTGTTCGGGTTCCTACCATTATGGTTTCTCCTTGGATTAAAAAAGGAACCGGTTAGTTCTCTTTTTCTTTTTATTTATTAATGTTTTCTCTATGATAATCTTACAAATTTGTTCTTACTGTGCATTGCTTTTTAGTAGAAATTTTTTTCTCAAGCTTTTTAACAAAAGAAAAAGACTCCGCTTTTGAACTTGATTTATTGATAATATATAAATAGTTTTGAAACTGTTGCCAAAAAAAAAAAGATTTATAACTTATATGTAGTATTTTATGCCTATTTCAACATACTATTTTTCACCTATGAATAAAAGCCATAGTTAAGTTGAAAACTATTCATTTATCTAACCAAATAAAGAAAGTCATTTGTATTTCATGTGTTTCCACTTTCTACTACTATTTCCGACAGACTTTTGACATTTGTTAACAAAATTTAAGGCTGCAAAAAAACCAAATCACATGGATGGCATTTGACAACTATAACCATTAATTATGGTGGAAAAAATAATTGAATCTATTGATTATTCCATTGAAAGATGTATATTATAATTTGTCGGCGTCGTTGCGTGCGTGACTCATGTTTTTCAACCATCCTCTGACCCCATTTGATTTAATTATCATATAGTTTAATAACATCTTATTTTATTATGTGGTTTGTTTGAAGTGGTGAGTGAAGCAAAAGGACCAACAGAGAGCTCAGAGTACGAGCATTCATCAATACCAGCGACAATCAAGAAACTATTCAATCTCTCTTCCAATTTCTTAACACATAGAGATGCTTGGGCTGCTACTTTCGAAGACGTTGTTTCTCACTTAACCACTCCTCGAACCGATTGTCCCATGACTCTACCTGAAGTTGCACCCATGAGAGCCACTGAGCCTAAAGAGGACGCAGCTCTTTCTGAGTTTCAGGGTGAAGTAGTTCAGCTTGCGGCGGTTCTTAACGGTGATCATTTCCTCAGTAGCTTCCCGGACGAAGTTGGGAAGAAGATGACTGTGAAACAAGCTCATGAATATGTCAAAGGAGCTACATCTCGGTTCATTAGAGCTAGTAAAGAGGCAATGAAGCTTGGTGCCGATAAATCTGCCATTGTCGATATGCGATCTTCGCTCACTACACGGCCACGCAACCTGTGACCGAAAAAAATCAATTAAAAAAATCTTGTTTGCATTCTTATTCCTCTGTTTTGATATGAAAATGTGTGGTTTGATGTTTGGAAACTGAGGAACAAAGAAATAAACAAAATTCATTGTTAGTGTCTTCATAATAACTCCCAATTTAACTGAAGCCCAATTAGGCCCATTAGAAAAATTCAACAAGGCCCAAAAAAAGTTAGCGTCAATTTCTTTAGTTCGAGACATTTCTTCATTTGTTTATTCTAGTGGCAGTAGAGTGAAGAAGAAACAATGTCGCCAATTTCTAAGATTCTCGGAGGATGCAGGACACTGATGGTGAAGGCGGTGACAAATGCGACGGCTAACGGCGCCGGCGGTGATAGAAGAGGAGAAATTCATAAGATTTTTCCAGTCTCAGAGTCGCTGGCTAGATTCGTCGGCCAAAGCGAAATCTCTTTTTCCACCGCCATGGAGAAAGTGAAGCAGTATACCGATGATCACGATCTCTGGGTTAGGGATTTCTAAACTCATCTCGATTTTTCTTTTGTTCTACTGCTTTTCGTGATTTCTAGGTCTATTGGTTAGCTTTTGATCTGATTCTTGTGTTGGAGCAATGTAACTGATTTCTAGGTCTTTGATTTTGTAGAATCCGGAGAATATAGAGGAGATACTGTGCGATGATAACTTGAAGACGATATTCGATGGCAAAGAAAAAGTCGTCGGAGACTGTCAGAGAGATGACGGAGCTCTTGTTGCGACATTTTCCTAACGTCAGGAATATGTCGGCGAAGGTGAAGGCTACCGGTGGAGGTACTATAGAAAAATGGGGGTTCAATGACATTGTGAAAGTCTCAGAGCCGCTGGCTAGATTCGTCGGGAGAAGCGAAATCTCTTTTGTCGCCGCCTTGAGAAAATTGCTAGAGTATACCGTTGATCACAACCTCTTAGATGAGGGTGTTACTCTGCTCGAGTTTCCTTGGGTTTGATTTTTACTTTCCTTATGATCGTCTTTACATGTTTATGCATTTAGGGGTTGGAGTTTATAGAGACTGTAGAATGGTAATGAAGGAATTGTTGCATGTAAACAAATCACTTAATCGTCGAAAATGTTGTCTACTCACTGAAATGTTTTGGTTTTGTTAGTGGAATTGGTCTGTTTTGATTGCATATTTTGAAAATTTAGCTTGTAAAATCAAGAACACACCAGTTTTGAATATAGAGTGTCTTTAGGTGGCTTTAGACAATGTTCTTGCTTCTCTGTTTCATGGTCATGGTCATGGATTGCCATTTTCATGTTTAGTCTTTAGAGATTATGATTTGTTTAGACCTCACTTGTTTTGTTTGTAGATTACAAAGTGTAGTAAATGGCGGATACGATGCGATGATAACTTGAAGACGATATTCAATGGCAAAGACAAAGTCGGAAACAAAGAGCTCTCTTCACTCTTGATGCGACATTTTCCTGACAGACGAGACGACTGATTTGGTGAGGTTTCTCTCCTAGTAAACCAATCCAAGAATCAAGTTTGGTCTCTTTTGGTTCATTTCAAATGCAAATGAAAAACTCTAATCCGATTGAACTTTGGTATGTGTAAAAAACCAAAACTAATTCTTTGATCCATCTGCTAGAGAATACTTTGTATATTGACAGTTATGGTAAGATGGTTTAACTTTTGGAAAATTTTCTTACACTTAAAACAATTCACATAGTAATAAAAAAATCATTAAATAAAGAGATACCAACGTGCATTTTATTTAATAATTAATTAAGGGAAAATCAGCTACATCGCTGTCCACCTTATCCACTTGTACCCCAATCCCTTTGGCAAAAACTTGTCACAACTTTTGATCCAAAAATCACAAATCCAAAACCGACCAATGGACACCAACAACAACCAGCAACCACCTCCCTCCGCCGCCGGAATCCCTCCTCCTCCACCTGGAACCACCATCTCCGCCGCCGGAGGAGGAGCTTCTTACCACCACCTTCTCCAACAACAACAACAACAGCTCCAACTATTCTGGACCTACCAACGCCAAGAGATCGAACAAGTTAACGATTTCAAAAACCATCAGCTTCCACTAGCTCGAATCAAAAAGATCATGAAAGCCGATGAAGATGTTCGTATGATCTCCGCCGAAGCACCGATTCTCTTCGCCAAAGCTTGTGAGCTTTTCATTCTCGAGCTCACGATCAGATCTTGGCTTCACGCTGAGGAGAATAAACGTCGTACGCTTCAGAAAAACGATATCGCTGCTGCGATTACTAGGACTGATATCTTCGATTTCCTTGTTGATATTGTTCCTAGAGATGAGATTAAGGACGAAGCCGCCGTGCTCGGCGGTGGAATGGTGGTGGCTCCCACAGCGAGCGGTGTGCCTTACTATTATCCGCCGATGGGACAACCAGCTGGTCCTGGAGGGATGATGATTGGGAGACCAGCTATGGATCCGAGTGGCGTTTATGTGCAGCCTCCGTCTCAGGCGTGGCAGAGTGTTTGGCAGACTTCGGCCGGGACTGGAGATGATGTCTCTTACGGCAGTGGTGGAAGCACCGGTCTCGACGGCCAAGGGTAAGTTTCATTTTATGTGCAATGTAGATACATTGATTGATTACATGATTATTTAGGGTTTTAGGATTTGGAATGATAAACAATCTCTAAGTCTGGTTTGATTGGGATATAATCATGTCACCATTTTCAATCTCTAGTCCAAGATTTGAATCTGCTGATTTAGGTTCTCTTGCTCTTCTGCTGAATCTGAATGGATCAATGAACTATGACTCATTTAAAACTTACCTTTTAATGTTTTTGTATCATTTTTGCAGTTAAGCTCAGAGTATTCCAAATGATGCTTGAAGACAGCAGATATTAGTCGACTTTGCCTTGAATTTTGGATGTGTTTGATAGATTATGCCTGAATTCAATTTAAAAGGCTTAAAAAGAGTAAAAAAACTCTTATATCTCTCTGTTAACTTATATGTTATTGCAGCAAACCATCATTGCTGTGACTTTGCCTAACTATATAATCTAATGTGCAGTTTCTAGTTGTATGCTTCTTTTTTCGATTTTTTCTCGTATTTTAATCTTCCTCTTTCACTTCTTGGGATGAACATATCTGAGAAAATGCAGTCTTGTAAATTGTAAGGTTCTTTTCAGAGGTTTCAGTGCTTGGAAACCTCAAGCAAACCTAGTGAAGCAACTTGGTTCTTTGTAAATGTGTATCTGTATATGAACTCGTGACATAGCAATGTAGCTAGCAGCGATGACAATACTGTTGTTATTTTAGTTGATTATTAGTATTTGATAGAAAAATCTTATTACAAAGCATCTTACAGTAGCGTAAGTTATTTTTATCAATATTTTTGCTTTGTAAGGCTTAACCCTGTGACAGGTATTGATCTTTCTCTAACTGTAACTTCCGCATTCTTGAGGAACCTTTGGATACCGCTGTCTGTCTGAACAATAGTCATAATCCAGGTACATCTTCTTTGCGTTTATATACAGTTCCTTCTCTTTAGAGCTTAGCTGTTTGCGATTCCACCAGAATTTAGGATCAGTGCATTTCTCGATTCCCATGAACTCAGTTTGACACCCTTCAATCTTTGATGCCTGGAACTTAGCAATGTAAGGCATCTGCTTCGGGTCAATTATCGATCCGTTTTGCACGCTTCCCATTAGGAACATTGTCTGCACTGATGGGTAGTAAACATCTGGATTCTTGCTGTAAACCCTGATCGGTGTATCGTCGACATAAAACCTGACAATGTGGAAATACCTTTTCTTTTGTTACTGATGTTAATTAATGGATGATCTGATAGAATTGTTATATGATGATACTCACACAAGTTGATTTGGGTTCCAAAGAAAACTGTAGGAATGGTAATCTTTGGTTGGATCAAACCAGAGACGAAACCTCTGATCTTTGCCTCCTTCACCGTACAGATACATATTCGTATTCAGCAAATACGGTGGCCCATTCTTTCCCAAGATCTGGAAACAGAGCTCATCATGGCGGCTTGAACGGGAGATTAACTGCCATATAACAGAAAAACATATTTCAAGAAGCTATTCAGGTACCTAATCTCATTATCTTTATTTCAAACAAACATAAGTGTAATGTCGTTTACGTACGTAGAAAGAAGTAATGACTCCCGTAGACGTAGTTTGAGGTGCCTTGATTCTTACGTTGAAGTATCCTGATCCGTAAATCAATTGGGATTCAAACCCTGACCCTGTAAGGAACATGGACCAATCACAATCAGCGACTAGACACATATAGACAGAGAGAAAGAGAGAGATAGAAAGAAACCAGAGTTATTATCGAGTGTGAGCTGGAGCTCAGAGGTTTTATTAATAACCAAAGCTTGATGTCCCCATGTCTGGTAGTAATTGTTGGCCCATGTCACGAATCCAGTAGTCTCTTGACCTCGAGCCGCCGCTAAAACCGCTACAACCACCAGAACCATCAGTAGAATCTTCTGATCATATCCTCTCATCTTGATCTCTCTCTCTCTCTATCTCTCTTTGCTTCTTCCTCACTTTACTTAATCACATTAGAACACGACTCTCTTGGGCTACGTTATATAGGCTTAGAGCAGCCACGTACGTTACTTTGTTTTTTTTTTCACCAAATAGTCTATATTCACTACATCATCCTAAAATCCCATTCAATTAATTAAAATTTTTTGAGTTTAATCCATCTAAATTTTGAGCTGTTTGTTTTTTAGTATGGTGAAAGCTGTTTCCAACTCGTTTTATACGAATCAAGCATTGCATCTCAAAAAGCTTTACTATTTTCACGATTTCAATACTTTGGTTTTGTTAGCCTATAAAGTTTTCCATACAAAGTAAGCTCTAAAAAGAAAAAACTTTTGAATAAATCATTTAGTAATCATAGGTTTTAATGTTCCAAAATTTTATTCTGCTAATCATTGATATTGTGTTTGAATTTCTAGTTATTATTCCCTCTGTCCCATTTTATTAGATTTTTTGGCTAAAATAAAATGCTTTTTTCTATTATATAATTGTAATCAATAGAAAAAAATATTGCACAATTTAAATTGTCATAAACTATTAAATTAATCTAATTTATGCATAGAAACTAAAAAAAATCCAATAAATTAGAATAAAAGAAAAAGCTTTAAACATCTTATACTATATTGGAAGAGATAACTACTCTTATTTAAACTGTTGTCACTAATCAAATTAATACTACAGTATCCAAATATTTCATTTCATCCACACTGCCTTATTTTTTCAATATAAAAATTGGTTACTGCATTTCCCTTTTCCTTCGTTCTAATCCGTTTATCACGAGAATTCCGTGTTTGTTTCTTGCAGTAGTCTCAGGGAAAAAATGACTTATAGTGTGAAAGCCGTTATCTGGACAAGTGTTATATACTTGTACTTTACCTGACCATACCACTACCGGTGTTACTCCCGACCTTATGGCGATATTATTTTAATCATTTCATTGTCAATTTCAGTTAAGTAATGAGTCTTGTCGCTTTGTATTTAGTGATAAAATGAGGAAACATTCTTTAAGTTTAGATGATTAGAAGTAGAGATTTGTCGAAAAGGATGGTGTCTAATTGTCTATTGGTTGAATTGACTCATTAATCAAGTTTAGCAAAAACGTGCACCCAACTCTCTAAGCTTTTATATTTGGATCCATTGTGGTAAATGTGGAAAGAGATAGAGAATGCCAAAAAGTTGCCACCAAGGTGACAGCTCATTTCACAACATGTCAATACGACATTTACGTGTCTAAGTTATGTATTTCCACTTTCATTAACAATATAATCACGTATAAATGAAAATCGTTTACAGGATAATATTCCGAATGGTTTGAAATCTCATATTAGTAGACAATGTAAAAAAAAATAGATTAATAAGTTTTTCTTCCATTTAATAATTTATTGTTATGGTAAAAAAGGGAAACCAGAAAAACAATCTACTTTACGTATATTTCATGTTCATATGTTGTAGTTACCTCGTGATAACAGACGGTTATAGACGCCGTAACATGAATGTTCAGTTGAATACAGATCAAAACATGTGTTTCACTAGAAAATCCTCACAAGAAAAGTGTAAGAATTTGTAAACCTCTTTCAAAGAAATAGTATTAGAATCCCAAGATTCTATCATAATCCGGAATCTTGGCTGAAAATGTATAAAGAGACTGATGTTAATGTAGTAACAAGGACTCTTGTCTTCGTTCTCAAATTTTAGAGTTCTTGCAGTTTACAAGAGTTTTACTTTGATGAGTGAGACATTTGTTTTTTAGGGTTTATTTTCTAAAATTACATAGCATCAACATCATTAAATTATATAACGTTTTCTTATAATCTCTTAAAGATGTTTTAGAAAAATTTATATTGGTAATAAGAGAACGATGTTTTAGATGAAAAATAATCGGTACTAAAAAGACAAATACAAAGACCAGTAAGAAACCAAACCGGACTTTGTGTTCAGACCGAATCAATCTGAATTGGAGAATTATGGTTGAGGGGAAGTCAACGGAACAAAAGTATAAAAACTAAATGTCAAAGAAAAGAGACCCAATTTTCATCTTAAACGACGAAGCTCCTGAAACCCTAATTTCAATTACCAATTCCGATCTAAGAAGTCATGGATGCCATTGATTCCGCAATCGATCCTCTCAGAGATTTCGCTAAGAGCAGTGTTCGTCTCGTCCAGCGCTGTCACAAACCCGATCGCAAAGGTACGCCAATTTTTTAAAATTTCTCATTTCCGATTTTGGTGGATCTGGAGATTAGGATTTCTGAAATACTGTTCTCATTGTGATTTTGATTGGTTCTCAGAATTCACAAAAGTTGCTGTGCGTACGGCGATTGGATTTGTGGTGATGGGATTTGTTGGCTTCTTTGTGAAGCTCGTCTTCATCCCAATCAACAACATCATCGTTGGATCTGCTTAGGATATACTTTACGAGGTAATAATTGCTTTAAAGAGATCATTGACTAGACCACATTCTTGATTCATTGCTCAAGGATTTGTAATCATATTGGTGGATAGAAGTTGATGTTATAGATTTAGGATGAATTTCAGCTAGTTTTTGGCTTATTCTGATTGCCTCAATAGTTTAGTGCTTTGCTCTGTTTCCATTGTTTCTGCTATCTGTTTGTCCCATGAGTTTTGTTTGTTCTGAATCCTTTTCTCTGGATCTTATTCTCTGTGGTATCATGGAGTCTCTGTTTCCTCTTGCTTAGTCATATTTGGGCAAAACATTTTGGGTGGTTTCATGCAAGAAATCCTGAGATAAACACTCATTTGTGAAAGTTTCTGAACTCTGAATCGCCCTACAGGTAATGCGCCGAGGATTAGGAGAAGAAGAACTCGACATTATATCAGTCTTTGGGGAAGCTCCTTTGTTTTGCTATGTTTTTGTAGCCAAATTCTATCTTCTTTATTCGTTTTTCACCTATATATTTTATTCTCTTATTCCTTATAGACTATATATTTTCATCATATTTTTATTCATGTATACAAATTATATTGTTTATCAAGCACCAACCTTAAAATCTAAAATCTCAAATGGAAAACTCAAATCATCATAACTATGTTTCTACCAACTTGCAGCTTATGTTCAGAACTAACAATCAAGATATCCACTTGTATGTATCCATTCATTCTCTTAACCAAAAAAAGAAGATAAATTTGATATATTTGTCAGCCACAAATTCTACATTTAGGTTTTAGCATATTGATGGCTCTTTTTGTTTTTGTTTTTGTCATACATATTGATGGCTCTTTTAATATCAAAACCAAAGGGCATTTTCGTAATTACAACACAAAACCCTTAACTTCGAGTCTCATTTTTTAAACGATTCAGGTTCACACGAAGTCTCGCTTCTCTCTCTCTTTCGCTTCTCTTCTCCTGAAACATCAACCATGGCGGCGGCAACATCTTCTTCGATCTCCTTCTCCACCAAACCTTCCTCCTCCAAATCTCCATTACCAATCTCCAGATTCTCCCTCCCATTCTCCCTAAACTCCAACAAATCATCCTCCTCTTCCTCACGCCGCCGCGGTATCAAATCCAGCTCTCTCTCCATCTCCGCCGTTCTCAACACTACCAACAATGTCACAACCACTCCCTCTCCAACAAAACCTACCAAAACCGAAAAATTCATCTCCCGATTTGCTCCAGATCAACCACGCAAAGGCGCTGATATCCTCGTCGAAGCTTTAGAACGTCAAGGCGTAGAAACCGTCTTCGCTTACCCCGGAGGTGCATCAATGGAGATTCACCAAGCCCTAACTCGCTCCTCCTCAATCCGTAACGTCCTTCCTCGTCACGAACAAGGAGGTGTTTTCGCCGCCGAAGGATACGCTCGATCCTCAGGTAAACCAGGTATCTGTATGGCCACTTCAGGTCCCGGAGCTACGAATCTCGTTAGCGGATTAGCCGACGCGTTGTTAGATAGTGTTCCTCTTGTAGCAATCACAGGTCAAGTCCCTCGTAGGATGATTGGTACTGATGCGTTTCAAGAAACTCCGATTGTTGAGGTTACGCGTTCGATTACGAAGCATAACTATCTTGTGATGGATGTTGAAGATATTCCTAGGATTATTGAGGAAGCTTTCTTTTTAGCTACTTCTGGTAGACCTGGACCTGTTTTGGTTGATGTTCCTAAAGATATTCAACAACAGCTTGCGATTCCTAATTGGGATCAGGCTATGAGGTTACCTGGTTATATGTCTAGAATGCCTAAACCTCCGGAAGATTCTCATTTGGAGCAGATTGTTAGGTTGATTTCGGAGTCTAAGAAGCCTGTGTTGTATGTTGGTGGTGGTTGTTTGAATTCCAGCGATGAATTGGGTAGGTTTGTTGAACTTACGGGGATTCCTGTTGCGAGTACGTTGATGGGGTTGGGGTCTTATCCTTGTGATGATGAGTTGTCGTTACATATGCTTGGGATGCATGGGACGGTGTATGCGAATTACGCTGTGGAGCATAGTGATTTGTTGTTGGCTTTTGGGGTGCGGTTTGATGATCGTGTTACGGGTAAACTTGAGGCTTTTGCTAGTAGGGCTAAGATTGTTCATATTGATATTGATTCGGCTGAGATTGGGAAGAATAAGACTCCTCATGTGTCTGTGTGTGGAGATGTTAAGCTGGCTTTGCAAGGGATGAACAAGGTTCTTGAGAACCGAGCAGAGGAGCTTAAGCTTGATTTTGGAGTTTGGAGGAATGAGTTGAACGTACAGAAGCAGAAGTTTCCGTTGAGCTTCAAGACGTTTGGGGAAGCAATTCCTCCACAGTATGCGATTCAGCTCCTTGATGAGCTGACTGATGGAAAAGCCATTATAAGCACCGGTGTCGGGCAACATCAAATGTGGGCGGCGCAGTTTTACAAGTACAAGAAACCAAGGCAGTGGCTATCATCAGGAGGCCTTGGAGCTATGGGTTTTGGACTTCCTGCTGCGATTGGAGCGTCCGTCGCCAACCCTGATGCGATTGTTGTGGATATTGACGGAGATGGAAGCTTCATAATGAATGTGCAAGAGCTGGCCACAATCCGTGTAGAGCAACTTCCAGTGAAGATACTCATATTAAACAACCAGCATCTTGGCATGGTTATGCAATGGGAAGATCGGTTCTACAAAGCTAACCGAGCTCACACATATCTCGGGGACCCGGCACAGGAGGACGAGATATTCCCGAACATGCTGCAGTTTGCATCAGCTTGCGGGATTCCAGCGGCAAGGGTGACAAAGAAAGCAGATCTCCGAGAAGCTATTCAGACAATGCTGGATACACCAGGGCCTTACTTGTTGGATGTGATTTGTCCGCACCAAGAACATGTGTTGCCTATGATCCCGAGTAATGGCACTTTCAACGATGTCATAACTGAAGGAGATGGCCGGACTAAATACTGAGAGATGAAACCGGTGATTATCAGAACCTTCTATGGTATTGTATGCATATGGTAAAAAACTTAGTTTGCAATTTCCAGTTTGTTTTGGTAATTTGAGTTTCTTAGTTGTTGAACTGCTTTTTGGTTTACCTCAGACTCTACTTCTGTTGTTGTTGTTTGGTTTCCTTTTTTTTCAATTTATATATAAATAATCCGGTTCGGTTTACTTGTTGTGAATGCCTTGGTTTGGTTTAGCACTCACTGGGTTCATGTCTCTCGAATGACTGCTAAAACACTCACTGTTTTAGCAAGGACAATGTCCTTACCATTGGTTTTTTAATGAAATGTGTTTATCTGGGCCATGGATTCCAAAAATTAAATAAAAATACGAGGTAATCGAGAAAGTGTCCACATTTTGAGTTTTTATACGATGAAATAGGGTTAATCTAAAATATAGATTGATAGCGTTTGGTTCATTTTTTAACCTTTTTTTTTTTAAGTTAGTGTTTAGTTTTGTAAACATTTTTCAGATTTAGAACAAGTAAATCCAAAAAAAGAAATCCCAACTCAGCACTAAATTTTTGATGTATAAAATATGCTTAAAACATTGGCTAGAAATTAAAAAGCTATAAACATAGAGAACTCTTATAAATTGGAGTATGAAAATATACTGAATTAGGTATTATATGGATTTTTCTGATTTAGGAGGATTCACATGATCCAAAAAGGAAATCCAGAAGCACTAATCAGAAATTGGAAGTAGGAATATTTTCCAAAAGTTTTTTTTTTTTTTTGTAAGTGACAAAATCTTTTAATAAACAGAAAAGAAATTAGTATTAAAGTTGTAATATAATAAACAAAAAGAAATATTTTCATTTCTTTTTCAAGCATGAGGTTATGATGGCAAGATGTGGATTTCATTTTTCCCCTTTTGTAGCCTTTTAATTGATCTATTATAATTGACGAAAATTTATTAGTTTATTATAGATATTTTAGTTAGCAATTAACACTTCCAAAAGAATATGTAACACCTTTTTGGTGATCAATAATGCGTCCCATTCATATATCTCAATGCGTTGATGCTCTCTTCATTCACTGGTTAGTCAACTAATAAATGTTTTTGTTTAATTACATTTGGAAATTAAAATTTATGGTAACACTCATTGTTTTAAATTAAGTGTCTTTTTTAAAAAAATTCACGCACGAAAAAACCAAAATTATTTTATATATAATTTTTTAGTACAAAATCATTTCCAAGCAATTTCTATGAAACGACTTCTGTAACTAATAATTCAAAATTATAATTTAGTTTAAAAACGACAATTTATTTGAAACGAAAATAAAAACAAAAAAAAAATACTTCTTTTTCAGTGACAGGAGCATGATTTTTTTTTCAAACTATGAATTTTTTTTTTTCTTTAAGTCCGGTATATTGTAAAATAAAATTAGGTTTATTTCTCAGATATGAATTTCTTTGATATTTTAAAGATGAGTTACACAAAACCAATAAAGATCGAGATTATGTCAAAAACTTAAATAATTTAGTTGTGGATGGTGTTTTATCATTTATATGCATGTCAGAAATTTCTAATGACGATGATGGTGTAATAGATTAATAAAGAACATATACATGATCAGTAGTTACTACTATTTGGGTCTATATGGAAACTGAAATTTTGTTATAATGATCAAAGTACAAACTGCATAAGCTAATTTTAATCGAAACTACATACTCATAATCTATAGGTTCTATACGAAGAAACTGAATGCAGTTGATAAAGAAAAGTAGATCCAAAATGACAATTTAAATAAATAGTTATGTTACTTTCAACGTTACATACTTAATGTAAGATCAGAATCAAGCTTTATTTTCCATAGCACGTTCATAAACAAACAATCTATCATTTATAGCAACTAGCAACCACTCATATTAATTTATATAAATTGGTCAACCTTCAAATTTGTAATTGGTGAGTTGTTCAAAGAGTGAGACTCTTCGCCTTTCTCAGACATTTAAAAGTAAGACTCTCACTTTCTCTCCTTTTTACTTTTGGCCCATTTATATACAATAAAATCTCTTGACTTGGGATTTTCTTTTCTAATTCTTTTTACTTTTTCTTTCTTTTTCTCATTTTTGTCAATGAGAAAAATATTTAAAATAAGTACAGATATATAATACATATATATCTGTATACTTGGCCCATCTGTATAGTACTGAATTCTGAATATACTATTATTGTCTTCAAAATTATACACAAACATCAATGAAAATGTACTTCCATAAGATTTTTTTTGCGTGCAACTATTGAAATGTTTGCTTTGTAATTTTATGGATCCGAGACTTCTTTTTGTGGGTAACCGAGTTTTCAGGCTCTTATTTTAAAAAATTCATTCGAATATGGGAATGCCAACGTTAACTAATGACAATTATCACTTAGTAACTAACTCGATCATGAGGACAAAACTATTATCTCTCAAAATGGTTTCCAAGACTTAGATGGTCTATATACTCTATAGTTTTTGTTACCTTATTTTGAGATACCTGCACAAATTCAGTGTGAACTACATTTAATTTGTGTTATAATTTAGCAATTATTTACGCCGTAAATGATAGAATCATATAACACTAGTTTTAAGTTTTTTTAAAGCATAAACATATAAAGATTATATTACAAATGAATACATATACAGTTATATATATCAAAATAAAAGAAATCAATTAAACTTTTACACATTAAAAGATTTATCTTATTATATAAACAACCAATATATCATCTACCATATAACAATTAATTTTTTTTTTGTACCCAATTATTTTGAAATTATGTCGCTTAATTTTACTGGATATTGATTTTGGAAAGAAACTTTAGTTCAAATTTATCTCTTTCATCCTATAAATTATTATTTATTTGAGAATCCCAAAATAAATATAAATTGGTAAATATTTTTGGCTATTAAATGAAATATATGTAAAATTAGATATAAGGTAGTGATGGATCACATGATGAGAGTAACTTCCATCATCCATTGTCCCCTCTTCCTTCCCGTAACACTGTCTTTTCATTCCCTTCCATTCTAAGGGCATTGTCCCTTTCTCTTTTAAATCCAACCAAACTTGGCTTCTTCTTCTTGTTTTATTTTCTCCCAATTATTACAACTTGTTAATACTTCCATTTATATGAATAGCTAATCTATCATCAAAGATCCAATATTTTCCAAAACATTTATAAAAAAATTATGGATCATATAGGTTCATATCTACGTACGGGTTACATGATTGGTATTGATTCAATTCCATGATTAAGAGACCTAATTACTAAATTAAAATATATACTATATATGGAAAATGAACACTAATAAGAACAGTTGTAAATGATAATTTCTCTATAAAACTATATTTTTTTAGGTGGTGGAAGGGAAAGAGATAAACATGCATAATAATGAGCTAACTTGTGTAAGGACCACAAAATATATAGACATCGAAACTAAAACAAATCTCTGTCATAAGGATATAAACTATAAGAGACAACACAAATTATTATTAAATAGTTTATATTGTAGAAAGAATTAGAATTGAGATTTATTATATATTTTAAGGAAAAAAATCTAACTAGAGGGGACAAGCAAAGATCCATCCCACATGGGATTCAGAAAATATATAAATTTGTGAAAAAGCTGAACAAAGGAAAACAACATTTGGAAAATGATGGCTCTCTTTGATACCAATATGACTGATTCTATATGCACTGATGATACACATATGTATGCATGTAAGTATGTATGTGTGTGCATACAACATTTATGCACAGATACACTTATGATACATGTATATATGTGTATATATATGTATGTATATATGTGTGTGTACATCTACAAATTATATTTTGAGTTTAAAGACAAATGTGAAAAGACAAATGTTAAGGTTGTGTCACAATGGGCAAGATTGCTATGTATTGATGTATCTTATCAGTTTCCATTATCTTCCAATTTCGCAGACACATCTCTTTCCTTCTGGTGAATTCAACCTTGTGATTATACATTTCCCTTTTTTGTATGTACGTAGAGCCACACTCATAATATTCATACACGTACAACATCAAATATATGTATCTTTGTATATATACATTCTGCAATTGCTGAATTATATTAATTGATTATTTTACCCCTATACATTTGATTGGTGTATAATAATTAACTAAAATTAGAAGTCGTACTCTTTTTTTACAGAACATGTAATTATTATATATATTACGTACCTACTACAAGGAAATCATCTGGAATTACAAAATGAGTATTCAAAAGGCTTTAGGGAGAAGTAGTTCATTGAATTAGTTGATTTAAAACAAAGAATATATATGTCTTTTAGTTATCTAGCATATTTTTTTTTCTTCTTAAGAAAAAGTAATTGTTTTTTACGAAAAAGATAAATTAAGTCAAGAATATGAAATTTAATTAGTTAAAAGTTGGACAATGAGAGCATGCAGTAGATCTAGGTGATTCGAGGAAACGAATTCGATCAAGTTCAGCCAAGTTTTTGTTTTAAATTTATTAAGCTGTTGATTAATCAAAGTATATATATTCTTCTGTCATTAGGGTGGCAATTCAGAATCAAAAATCAGCATATCTTTAAAATATGTAGAAGCATAGCATTATAGCAAGAGTTTAGAAAGCCGAATTGGGTGATTTTGGGTAATGAGTGAAGAGAGGCGATATTTTGTAAGCATTAAGCAACAATATTTTTTGAATTTAAATTTGATAAACAATTTGTAAATCTATTTTTTTGGAGTTTGTGTATAGAGAAAGGTCTAAGAAGAAGAAGTTGAAAACAAGTGGATACTCCGACTCCTTCCCACCCCTTGTTGTCTTGTAATTCTCTCATCAATTATTCATCTTTCTTTTCTTTTTATTACACAAATCGATTGTGGTTTTTTTTTTTTTTTGATCCATTTGCTTCTATCTTTCATTATCAAAGGTTCCTATCATCAAAAATATGAGCCATGGCCCCTCATGTTTCACTCCATTTTGTTTCTATTTATATAAATTCTATAATAGCATAGTGATTATAGTCAATATGATTTTCTGAGCCATTTCTTTGTTGACTTGATAATTGATTCGCAAGGATTAACACATATATACACTCGGTAGTATTATAAATCACATTTTTACATTAGTTTTTTTTTTTTTTTTGATAAAGGGTTTGCAAGTATTTTACATTAATTGTCCCATAGAGCAACCCTCTTCCGTCTGATGATTGCCAAAAATAAATAAAAAATAATATATGCCTACAAAATATGATATATTGTTTTTTGTTTTTATATTATTAATAAGATCCAAAAATTCTAAAATATCACAAACTTTGCAATTTTCTGTAAAACAACTAGTTTTGGTCAAGTTTACGCATAATATTTACTTAAAGATAACAATATTTTTTCTGCTCAGAGTTGAACAAGATAAAACCGAAATAGTCATTTTCTAACTAGTTGAACTATCACACCAAATTCGTTTAGTTGTTGAAGAAATTTACAAAACTGATCCTGAAAATCTCCCTGAGAAAAATAAATCACTAAGAGATTGCAATGATCAGACACATTTAAGAAAAGTAGTGTACCAAGTGCTACACATATATATCAATAACTGTATTTGGCATTAGACAGTACCCAAATTGTAATCTTCATTACTATACTATTTCTCTATAAAAAATACCTACAAGGCTACAGTACATGTACATGTGTGTTTACGCGTGTGAATGGAACTGTGTTTGTGTGTGGTAATAATAGGTAAGGTAATTTGTTATTTAACAAAATTTATGTATTAAATATAAAAGATCTTTATGTTGACAAGAAAAGAGATCTTTATATTATTATATATATCCAAAGAGGAAAAGGAAGCTCTCTAGGGTTTCATGCTCTTCATATATAAGATGTTATTTGCAGCGATTTCACGCATTCATTAGATATAGTTTTTCTAGATCTATTTCATATTCTATTTCATATAGTAATGTCTCTTTCCATAATATTTTGGTCCGTCTAGATATACATTATACTGTGAATTTCACATTAAAAAAATATCAACAAAATAGTAACGAGAAAAATTAAACTGTTCGAAAACGTGTATTCAGTTCCAAATACTAAAGATTGTCATAGAAATGACAAAATGGATAACAATGTGCTTTGATTATTTTCTATATTTTCAAAATGTTTAAATTATATTGTCATAATCTTTAGCATAGTTTACATATCGTTTTCTATAGAATATGACGACCAACCGACTAGATCAGATCAGCCGAGATGATTAACATTTTTTTAGGGTATGATCGTATACTCGGCATTTTTTTAGGATTCTAAACTTGAACATATTATTTTTAGTACTCGATTATTCATTTCAATTATAGTGTATTATATAATTTTATGTATTTTTCGACTACGAAGTACATAGTTAAAATTAATCTTATCTTTTATCAAAAATACTTATACATTTATCGAGTTTCCGTAAGTAAATGTACGTACACAAACACACAATAATAGTACACATAAATATATATAATATTTAAAGCGACCTAAGAAATTAAAGTGGATGAAATGAGCATGGTAATGTAATAATTATACCCATGATCTCCATGCATATATCTTTACGTGTGTGTTTGATTATTTGTTTTCAGAATAATCATCAATTTTCATTGAACGAATATTTTCAAAGATGATATTACAACAAATAAAATGAACTATATATGGGTCAGCCAATTATATTCAAATCATGCAAATCGTCCATTATATTCTTTTTCTATTTTCCACGTTCCTCTATTATGAATGTCACTTCTATCTCTTGTTACTTTAATATCAAGCATTTAACTAACTGATCACTGTAATTAGGTTTTGTTCTGTTGGATAATGAGTTAATGTCATAGTTAGATTTTAATACTCCATATAGTATATATACCATATAATAGCTGATCGTTGCGGAATTGACATAGCTAATGTTGACACGGTAACTAATTTGAATTTTATCCATAATTCCCAAGAATTAATTAATTGGTATATTCATGAACTTTTTTTTTTGGTTGACAAAGAAGAGGAAGTAAAGTAGCTGGAAACATAAATCATTTCTTATCTGAGCATATCATTGTTTTCCTTCGATTTCAAGAAAACCGAAAGAAATGAGTAAAATATTAATTACCAAACTCCAAACTCGAAAATGAAAATAAACTATATAAAGTTAATTTACTACAAAATAAAATTTAAACAAAAGAATACAATTCTTTCTTGTTTTTTTCCAAATTATTTTCTCAAACTAATTGAACCAACATTCTCTTTCTCTTCAAATTTCCATTATAATAACAATAATTAAGAGAAACAAAGGAATACTTAAATTATGGCCTAAACCTTTGCCTGCAAGAGTGGCAAGTGATCTCCAAGCATGCCGTATCCATCTTCGTCATTGATCTCTCCTTCAACCTCTCAGCTCTCTCCACTTCTTCCCTTGCCTTCTGCCACATCACCCTGGTTACAATCCAATACCGTTAGCCAAACCGAACCGAACCAAACCAAACCGGAATTATTACTTGATCGAGCTAGCTTTGATTACCTTGCACGAGCAAACTCAGACTGAGCCATCTCCATCTCACGGCGAGTCAACTCTCTAACCCTCTCGGCGTAAGCCTTCTCTATAGCCGCAAGCCTTATCTGCTCCGCCGCCTGCCACTTCAGCGCCTCCACACCTCCTCCTCCACCGTTTGGAAGCTCCTCCGCGGTTGAGATCGAGCTGAGGCTGATGGAGAGTTTAAGGTCAAGATCATGATGGATCATGGAGGAGGAACGGTTGTGGTGGTGATGGTCGGTTGTTATAACTGTTGGTCGGTGTTTCCTTACCGGAGATTCGGTAGACGGTGGAGAAGGTAAAAGCTGAAGCTCTTTGTGGTGATCTTGTTGTTCAGCCATTTTTGTTTTCTTGTTTGTTTTTTTGGCTAAAAGGCTGCACTTCTCAATAAGTGTGGGGGTGGCAATTACCAATCACTTTATATGTAAGCTGCTTCGTGTCTGTACGCATATATTATCTACTTGAAATTACGCTTATAACCCCTTATTCGAATTTGTATTACTCCATCCGTTTTATAATATAAGTCGTTTTAGGTAAAAACACGCATATTAAGAATATCTACTTTTCATAAGTTCAGCCAATCATAATAGAGACTGCATAATATAAACAATTATAAAATATTAAAATAATATATAATTTTCATAGAAACTTGAAACCGACTTATATTGTGAAACAAATTTTTTTCTCCAAAACGACTTATATTTTGAAACGGAGGAAGTCTTATTTAATTTTTTGAAAAAAGCTTTATATTTGTATTATTTGATAATTAGGTTTTATATATGTCCTATAAGTTAACAAACGACCACCGTACCGCCATTATGTGAATTTGTTGTCAAGTGTGGTTCCATGATAAGACGAAATGATGTGATTGTACAACAATCAACTAAAGTTAAAAATAGGTTAAATATATAATAAGATTTTTAAGTTTTGTTGAGGTACAAGATCATTAGTCACCAAAAACCAAAATTTTAGAAATGTTTTTATGATGAACATGTTTATTTGCATTTATGTTGGAATAATATAAACATTTTTTTTTTGGTGTAAAACTTCTTTAACATTGTTAAACACAAAATATCAAACAATTGCAACTATTAATCGCATGATCGTCCATATATACCATTTTGAAGCTTCCTTCAGTTTTACTTCTGTCATATTTTGAAAAGTCTAAAGGATCAGGCCGACCATGATTTTAAGTTTGCATTCATCGATCACAGCAAAAAATTTGACTCTATGAAAATATAATCAAAGAAAATCATGTCGGAATAATATAAACATGTAGACGCAAACGTGATTAATGTTGTTTTTACGTTAAAAACTATAATTATGACATAAGTTCCAATTGCAAAATTTTACAGTATTTGTTTGTTTTTTTTCAAATCATAGGGGCACTTGTAAGTGAAAGTAATGGAGAATAAATTAGTAAAACGAAGAAAGAAATAGGAAAAGAATAGTTAAGGTGTAGAGAAAATCTCCGTTGAAGAAAAGACAGAGAAGATGGGATATAACGGATCACGTTATTGAGGCATGAGAGGCTTTTTAAAGTAACCCTTTTCACTTTTTCATCATCTATCTCATTTTATATGTTATTGTAACTAATAACTTTGCGATTTATATAATTAACGTATCCTTTTTTTATAAGGATATGAAACTGTGGTTGTAGGTTGTGTAATAATTGGAGATGCACGTGGCTTAATGGATTCCAAAAGCTAACTACTAGCTCACTATGTGCTTGGTACGAATATTTTAGTAGTTTAGTCAAATTCTTCTCATATACAACATTTATATTTTTCGGCAAAAAAAAGACAGTTTATATTTAAAATAAATAGGTGATTTAGTAGTTGAAAGATTCATTATAGGATTGAGAATTGGGAAACTAGAGTTTGAATCTTTCCGCTGCAATCTCAATCACATTACCTAGAGTTTAAATGACAAAAACAAAAATTTCACAAGTTTAAGAGACTAATCTGAATTTTGATCTACGATTGCTTTATCATCAAAAATTATATTTTATATTATGTTATTTACGAGATAAATATGTAATGCTTTCTATGTTTTTGAATATAATATTGATTGCTATTTAAAATTGGTCAAAAACTCCTTTCCACTATCCTACAAAATTTTCTCATAGGAAATTAAATTTCTACTAATATCAATTTCCTACCGCTGTTTTTCTACCAATTTCTTACGTTTCTGGCCATAGAAAACTGAGGTTTTTCTTGTACACAACATTAGTTTTTTTTAGTCTGATTCATATAAAAAAAAATCAGTAACAAAACAAAACAAAAATATTTACCACTAGCTCCTAGAGTCGTAGTACTAAAAACATTATCAAATAAATAACAAATGAATGCATGATTTTAACCAAAAAAAAATAAGAAGAAAAAGAAGACAAAATGATCCGAGTAACACATAATTTCTTCGAGAATTTTTTAAAAATTAATAACCGCATAATCTTTCAATTTAGTTGCCAATTGCCATAATTTTCTGCTGAGAAGAGAAAGCACTGTCCCTAAACCAATCTGGTTAACTACCGAACCATAAACCAACAATTAGACGGACCGAACGATAAACCTATCTAAACCGGAATGGCGGGGATTTCCACTCTCTTACAGTTTCCCGCTACATTTAATAGTGAAGGAAGAGAGAAGAGCAAAGATTTCTGTGGATAAATTTTTGATTTTGAAGCTCCCAATGAACTCTCGAGATCTTACACTCGTCTCTACTTCTGCAATTTTCGGTGCTTTGATTTCAGCTCTAGCATTTCGCTTCTTCTCATCAAACCCTAAAAACCCCAAATCTCGAAGATTTACTTGCACCGAAATCACCGCAATTCCCAGAAAATTTCCGGCTCTAGATCCTTTCAGTCCTGTGAAACGAAATGGGTTTGTCATAATTCTATTCAATTCATCGAATTTCGTTGTTACATAGCTAAATTTTCAAACTTTCAGAAAATAGAATCTGCTTTGATTTTTGAAGTTGGAACCTGGTTTGTTTTGTTGTGAAGGTACTTATCATGGGATGATTATTTCATGGCGATTGCTTTCCTTTCTGCAGAACGATCCAAGGATCCTAACAGGCAGGTAATTTTTTTGATGATATAGTTTTCTATCTTTATGTTCTTCCGTGGAAGCTGCTCAAATGTTATGGTTCTAGTTTTAGATTGAAAGAATTGTAAGCTCAATTTCAATAAGTTCTTCTCTCTTATTGATTTAGGTAAAAATAACTCAAAACCTAAAAATCTCTCTCTCACAAATCTCTCTCTTCCAAAACTCTCTCTCAACTCATAAGGCTTACCACAAACGTTGATAGCTCTTATATAGAGGTTTATTGAACTAATCCTAATCAAACTATGACTTGTCTAGATAACTCCTAAACAATATCTTAAGATAAGTTCTAGAGATTTGCCTTTATCTTCTCCTAACTTGTCGCACAAGTTATTTCTTCAAGCTTAATCCAACAATCTCCTCCTTAAGCTTGAAGCTCTTCTTCACCAAATCTTGCACTCCCATGAGCTCTCTCATTTCCTTGAATCTCATCTTCCCTAATGGCTTCGTAAGGATATCAGCCTTCTGCTCAACCCCAGGAACATGCTCCACTTCAATCTCTTCATTCTCGACACACTCTCTGATGAAATGGAATCTTCTTTGTATGTGTTTGCTTCTCCCATGGAAGACAGGATTCTTTGTAAGTGAAATTGCAGACTTGTTATCAATACGAATAATAGCTTTCTTGGCTTCAGTTCCCGTAATCTCACTGAGTATGTCCCGCAACCAAATGGCTTGTTTAGTCGCTTCAGTTCCGGCCATAAACTCTGCTTCACACGAGGATAGAGCCACTACGTCTTGTTTCTGTGAACACCAAGAGATAGGGCCGTCTCCTAAGTAAAAAATGTGGCCAGTTGTGCTCCTTCCATCGTCAGGATCTATACTCAAACTGCTATCACTATATCCAATGAGTCGCGGTACCTTTACTTGTTTCTCAAAAACTAGTCCAAGCGATGTTGTCCCTTTTAAATATCTCAGACATTGTCTCATTGCAGCTCCATGTGATTCTCTAGGACTATGCATATACCTGCTCAAAACACCTACACAATATGACAAATCAGGCCTTGTGTGAATTAGGTATCGCAGACAACCTACTTTCTTCCTAAAATCTGTAGCATCAATCTCTTTCTCGTTTTCAGCTTTTGACAATTGAAGTCCGACTTCCATTGGTATATGAACCGGGTTGCAGTCTAACATTCCTGTTTCTTCTAGAATCCTTTGAGCATACCTCCTCTGGCTTAGCACAACTCTACCTTCATATTGAGTCACTTCTATCCCAAGATAATAAGTTAACTTCCCAAGATCACTCATTTCAAATTTAGTAGCCATCTCCCTCTTAAATTTGTAAATGATAGACTTATCTGTTCCTGTGACAAAGAGATCATCCACATACACAGCGATGATAAGAGAGTGTTCTTTCTCTGTTTTTCGATAGACCGTAGGCTCCTTTGAACATTTTTTGAACTGAAGTTCTTCAAGAATTTGATTCAGCTTATTATTCCAAGCCCTTGGAGCTTGTCTCAATCCATACAACGCCTTGTTGAGTCTGTAAACCTTCTCTTCGCTCCCCTGCTTCTCGAATCCATCAGGTTGTGAAACATAGACAGTTTCTTTAAGCTCTCCGTGGAGGAATGCCGTTTTCACATCCAAGTGATGTATCTCCCAACCGTTTGCTGCTGCAAGGTTTACAAGTAGCCTTATGGTTTCAATTCGTGCCACCGGAGCAAATACTTCCTCAAAATCAATCCCATATTGTTGCACATATCCCTTAGCAACAAGGCGAGCTTTATGTTTGTTAATGCTTCCGTCAGAGTTTCTCTTCAGCTTAAAAACCCATTTGAGTCCAATAGGTGTTGTTCCAATAGGTAGATCAACTAGATCCCACGTTTGGTGTTTCTCAATTGAATTTATCTCGTCTTCACAAGCGTTAAGCCATTCTTTCGATCCCTTTGCCTCCATAAAATTTCTTGGTTCATTATTCAGGCACAAAAGAAGTGTTTCTCCTTCTTCTTCAGCAAGTAGAACATAGTCCTCAAGGTACTTTGGCTTGTTGATTTGTCTCTGACTCTTTCTCTGTATTGGCGCATTATTTTCTACAACTTCATCTCCTTGCTCTTGCTCTGCAACTTCCGGTAGAAATCCGTGGTTCTCTGTTTCCTCATCATCGTTTTCATCATTGTTCTCAGTTCCTGTCTGTTCTGCATCATTATTATTGGTCTCTTCTCCAGTTATGATGCCATGATTTCCAAATTCACCAAGTGTAATATTAAAGTTCCCATCTCCATCTTGCTCAGATTGATTTTTTCTCCAATTCCATCCCTTAGACTCATCAAATATCACATCCCGACTTACAACTATTCGTCTTGTTTGTGGATCAAGTAATCTGTATGCCTTTGAGCCGGGCTCTGTTCCCAAGTGAACCAACATCCTAGATCGGTCATCTAATTTTTTTAGAAGCTGCGAGTCAACTTTTGCATAGCTGATGCAGCCAAAAATCCGTAAATGATCGATCTGTGGTTTCTGCTTCTTAAAGACTTCGTATGGAGTCTTATCCGTTAGAGCCCTTGTAGCTACTCTATTTAACAGATACGTTGAATGTCTCACTGCTTCTCCCCAGAGATAGTTTGGTACTCTCATGTGCTTCAAGATACTCCTTGTCATCTCCATCATAGTTCTGTTTCTTCGTTCTACCACACCATTTTGTTGTGGTGAGTATGGTGCAGTAAGATGTCTCTGAATTCCAGCATTTTTACAGTACTCATTGAACTCATGTGAAGTAAATTCACCTCCTCTATCTGTTCTAAAGGTCTTGATCTGAGCCCCTGTTTCCTTCTCAACAAGATTCTTGAAATTTTTGAATTTCTCAAATGCTGAACTCTTCTCTTTTAGTAAAGTTGTCCACATATAGCGTGAGTGATCATCAATGAGAACAAAGATAAATCGATTCCCAGCAGCTGTACTTGGTGTTATTGGACCACATAAATCTCCATGTACTAGTTCTAAGATCTTAGAGGCTCTGTATGAAGTGGCTTGCGGAAAGGTTCTTCTTGCCTGTTTCCCAAAGATACAGGAGTCGCAAATTTCTTTCTCAAACGTGACCTGTGGTAATCCTTGAACTAGCTCTCTCTGCTTCATAGATTTGATGGTCTCCAAATTTATGTGCCCAAAACGTGCATGCCAACGGCTTGACTCGCTAATGGATGACAAGTACAGACATGCATTGTCATGAAAATCCATACACACCTTGTATAATCTATTTTTTGATCTTGGTGCTTTTGCAAGTAGTTTCCCTTTTGCATCTCTCATTGTAAGATATCCTCCCTTTAATCTAATATCACAGCCTGCTTCTGTTGCCTGTCCTAAACTGATGATGTTGCTCTTTAAATCTGGGATGTAATACACATCTGTCATGACTCTAGGTTCACCATTCATGTCAACAAGTGAGATTGACCCTTTCCCTTTTATATCGACACGAGAGTCATCTCCAAATCTCACTTTCCCTGTGACTGATTCATCAATTTTCCCAAAGTACCTCTTGTCTCCTGTCATGTGGTTGCTTGCACCATTGTCAAGGTACCATATGTTCTCTTCCCCTGTGTTTGTCTCAAACTTGCTTGGTATGCATCGTTTTTCATTAAGAAAAACAATCTCATGCATCATGAGCTCATCGGCATCCTGAGTATTATTAGTGGTTGATTCTTGAACCTCTTGTAGCTTTAAGAGTCGATCAGGGCAGTCAAAGGCGAAGTGGCCTAACTTGTCACATCGGAAACACGTAATGCGTGAAGTGTCTCTTATCGTGTTTTGTCGTCCTCTTCCTCTTCCTCTGTTAAAGCGACCACCACGGCCTCTGTTTGTGTATTCTCGTATGTTTTGAGTTTCTGAATTCGCATACATGAGTTTTGATTGATCTTCTGGTGCATTCTCTGCAACGACAATCCTCTCTTCGTACGTTTTGAGTCTTCCAATAATATCTTCAAAAGTAGTGGTATTAAGGTTTAATACCTGTTCTAATGAAGCCACTATATGAATAAACTTGGGAGGCAGACTGTTAAGAAACTTCTTAACCATCTTAGATTCCTCAATCTCTACTCCAAGAGAAGCAGATTTTGAAGAAATCTCTGCCATCTTTCCTGCGAACTCATCTATTTTCTCTGTATCAGTCATCTTGAGTTTGTCAAAGTTAGTCATAAGTGTTTGTAGACGTGCTTCTTTGACTCGTTCAGCTCCCACATGTCTTGACTTTATAGCATCCCAAACTTTCTTTGCAGAATCCAAATCACCTATCTGCAGAACAAGTGCCTCTGGTATTGACTGAAACAGCAGCGCGATGGCCGTGTTGTTCTTCTTTTTGTCTACTACTTCTCCCGCTGTTTCAGGTTCAATAGCTTCCCATACCTCATGACATCTTAGGGCAGCTTTCATCCTTAGCGCCCATACGGTATAATTTGCAGTGTTTAGCATCGGACAAACAATAGATGTAGATCCTCCTCCTTTCTTTGGATCTACCGGAACAAGTGCATCTTCCGCCATTGCTCCCAAGAAGATCGCAACGCTCTGATACCAAATCTAGTTTTAGATTGAAAGAATTGTAAGCTCAATTTCAATAAGTTCTTCTCTCTTATTGATTTAGGTAAAAATAACTCAAAACCTAAAAATCTCTCTCTCACAAATCTCTCTCTTCCAAAACTCTCTCTCAACTCATAAGGCTTACCACAAACGTTGATAGCTCTTATATAGAGGTTTATTGAACTAATCCTAATCAAACTATGACTTGTCTAGATAACTCCTAAACAATATCTTAAGATAAGTTCTAGAGATTTGCCTTTATCTTCTCCTAACTTGTCGCACAAGTTATTTCTTCAAGCTTAATCCAACAATGGTTGTGTAGGTTGGTGCGTGTTTGGTGAGCCAAAATGGTGTCATTCTGGGTAAGATAATATGATCACACTTGTCTTTTGATCTCTTTTGAACAATAATATGAAGTGTGGTTGTAATAGTTTATTTCATCCTCTCACTTAACTGGTACAAGTATAAACGACGACTCAAAAAATTTCATCTTTCATTTAGGGATTGGCTATAATGGTTTTCCAAGAGGCTGCTCTGATGACAAACTTCCTTGGGCCAAGGTATTACTTTTATCTGATATCCTAGAATATATGTCTACGAAAACTCATTAAAGTATGTTCATTGTAGTCAAAGGGTTCAAGAAAATAAACAATGTACCAATAAAGAAATGAATCTCTAGAGATAATGCAAGGAACTTTCTCCCCTAGATTTATTTTGGATTATTTTCTCTTCTTAATTTGCAGAAATCAAGAACTGGGGACCCATTAGAGACCAAGTATCCGTAAGTACTAATCTTAGCGATGCAAACTACTGCTGAACCTTTTAACTTCTTGTTTTGATGCGTATTGTGCACACTTTCTTTGGGGATCTGTAATACGGTGAGATCGTTCTCACCCGTTTAGGCTCTGATGTTTATGACTCTGATTTTGTAGATATGTTTGTCACGCTGAAGTCAATGCCATACTAAACACAAACCACGCATCTGCAGCCGGCCAGGTTTGTTTCTTTGGATTTTGTTCTGTGTTTATTTTCTCACAAATCATGGAGTTCCTTGCGTGAGCGAAAATATTAAAAATTTAAAATATTCTACACAATATGATTGTCAGAATCTGATCTCTGTGGTTTCTGTGCAAAAGCTAATAAGTTGAAAATGCTACTTGCTATAGAAAGCCTAAGGAACTCTGCTGCAGTTTCTGTTCCGAAGTATTTGTGTGTGTATGGTTTATATGAGTTTGTTTTGTGCTCTCTAATCTCTTGCAGAAGCTTTATGTGACAATGTTCCCTTGCAATGAATGTGCCAAAATTATTTTACAGGTTTGTTCTATATACGATTGGCTTAATTTGTCAAATTTGGATCCTTAATAAGCTAATCTAGTCATCTTTTATGGTTAATGTCTTCAGCTAAGCGGTCATTTTAAAACCATGCAAGTAGGTCATCACAATCATATGGACTTGTTTCATTTCGCTTTTCTTTCTTGCAGTCTGGTGTTGCTGAGGTAATCTATTTTGTGGAAAAGAGACTAAATGACTCAGATGTTGCCTATGTAGCTTCTCACAAGCTCTTATCCATGGCCAACGTCAAAGTAATTAAAGCCACTTTCATATGAATTTTCTCTACAATGCTTGTAATGGGAAGTCTTGTTTTGGTATCTAAATCTTTCCGAAACCAAACTTTTCAGGTCAGGAAACACCAACCAGAGATGGACCAGATCTTGATCAAGTTCGAAGAACACTTACTCCAACCAGGGACCTAATTGTTCCACTTCAAAATGTAGGGCCAAATCCGAGAATCTTAAGATTTACTGTAATTCAGACATATTCACTCAAAGACGGGCTCTTTCTTCTTTTCTTATTTCTGTTAACGTTTCATAACACAAATTCGAGAACTTTAGCACAAACAGACACAAGCATTATTACCAAACAAAAGACAATTTACAGAAGAAAGACACCATTTTCTCAGACTCGGTAGTTTTCGGGAAGAGGCAGGACGCCATCAAAGAAATCCCCAAAATAGCCAGATGGCTCATGAACTAGTCTTGCGATGATGTCTCTGAGGGTGATAAGTCCTTCAAGGTTACCAGAATCATCCACCACATATATCCTATGGATCTTCTCAGCGTCTAGCATCAAGATCAGTTCCTTTAGTGTATGGTTCTTCGTGCAAGCAATCACACCGCTCATGATAGGAGCTGATGTATCCCCGGACTTCTCAAGATGCTCTCTAACAGATACCAAGAAGTTCTTCGTAGTGATTGACCTAAAATAAAGTTAAAGAGAGAGTATTGAAGATTGACAATGCTGCGAAACTCGGTGTATCATCACAAGGATTTGTGAAGTTATTAACCTGTAGTCATGGTAGATCTCTGGTGCAGTGAGGAGAAATTGAACATCTCTAATGCTTATGTTGCCTACTGGCTTCTCGCTATTCCTTTCAATTACAGGTATGCCTCCGATTCTCTTTCTCCTCATCAGCTTGAATGCCTGAAGAACTGGTTCATCCTCATAGATCTGAAACAGAAATGATGATCTGTTAGAAAAGAATAAAAAAACTCTCAATGGAGCTATGAGTTAGATTACAAACTGACCTTTATGATATGATCCTTGGACATTATGGGAAGACCAACTTCAGAGAGAGTTTTAATTCCCCAATCCTCAAACCAGAGAAGCCCCGCGCATTCTGCCAGCATATGTATAACTCCTGATTGTGTGATAATGTTCTCGATCTTTGCTACACCTAAATCAACCACCGGGATGCTCTTCATTTTGTATTTAGAAAGAAGCAACAGCATGGTCAAAAAGGAGTTCTCTTTCTGCAGAGCCAGGAACGGTGCCCAGCGGAATGTTCCAGAGATATCTCGAACCTGTCAGAGAGAATATCCAATGCATTTCAGAAGCCGTAATCAGGAAAAAAAAATCCTATGGATATCAGGTCCTTCATAAAGAAACAAGCTTCACCTTGGTGTTCTTGTATAGCTCTGAAGAAGTAAGGACCTCAAAGAAGTTTCCAGAAGTTACTGCTGAATCTCCGTTATCCAGAACATCGGTGGTGAAATCATGAGAAAATCCATTTGAATTTGCAACAGCAGGGCTCCTTGGAGATGGAGGTTCCAACTGTTTTTCAAAAACAAGAAAAGCAAAGACATGAACGATAGTTTGTTAACAGGTCGCCTCTTGTATTTTCTTTAATGATGTTCGAAAGAGAAGGTTAAAAGAGAATAATTACCTGATGCAAAAGCCAGACAACAATGCCTGGAAACTCCACAATACCGATGTAGCGATCAATCCAGCTAGCATCTTCAGGCGCATCAACATCTACAACAGGCGCGCTCAAGACCTTGAATTTTGATAGTGTCTGAACAGCTTCAGCCAAACTTGTGTCTGATCTTATCTCGATATCTAAATAGAGAAACCGCAAAAAGATATTAGCACAAATTAGAGACAGCAGAGCTGAAGCATTTTCTGAAAAAACACTCTGATAAGAAAATATGCAAGATGTAATTTTTCAAGCGAAAGAGATGCGAAAACAACAACTCTTATATTTTGGTACATGAGAAGATTTTTTCAAGAACATACCACAAGGAGGACCAAGAAACAAAAACCATCAAGAACTAGTTCTGATTCCTTAAATCGAACTGATTCGAGTATCCGACAAGTTGGATTGAATTCCAAATTCTGAGTTCTAAAACTTTCTATAACTTGAATTTCAATCTAGATCACATATTCCTACTACAATTTATCAACAAATACATATCTAGAGATCAGAGAACCCATCAATAAGCATATGATTGCATCTCAAAATCCACAGTCAATCTCCATATCTTCCATAGATCAGTCAACCATCCAAATCCCACACACGAACATGATCATCCTCAAATTCAACACTATCACCAATTCCAACTAAAGATGATCAAACACCCACATCATCAAATCCTCATTCATACCTTGTGAATCAGAAGAGAGAGGGAAAGCAGAGACAGGGATGCTCTCGAAGCAAGCGTTGAGCTTCTCGTTAGGACTAAGCTGTGGCTTTTGCTCATCCCAGAGATCTTCCACACGCATCCCTACCTTCGCTTCCGGGCTCGACACGTCACTTCGATGCCCTAAGCTCTCGCTTCTCATTATCTTTATCTCCGGCACAGTCGCCATCTTTTCCGGTAAGTCAACAGTGAAAAGGTATCGTCTTTATTCTCCGGTAACTCGAAAAGAACAGAAAAAATCCTCTCTTTTTGTTTTCCGTCAGAAGTTTTCTAAAATTGGCTGTGATGATCTTCCTACTGAACTATATAGATTGAAATATACACCATAGTAGAGAGATCTTGAAGCAGAGACAAATTCATAAACCCTGTTGTCTTAAATCTTATGAATAAAACCCTATATGTTTTTAATTTATCAAAAACATCCTCGAATCTTTCAGTTTCATCATAAAGATTCGGGGTTATTTTGAAACAAAATGGATTTCATGGGGTGGTACAGTGATTTGTTATAAATTTGTTCAAGTGTTGTTTTGGTTAGTGACTTAGTGGAAGGGTAGTCTGTGACTGTATGTACTCTACTCCTTCGAGTAGACTCAAGATCTCAGCCGTTGAATTCAGCGCTTTTGACACGTGGAAAGAGTAGGGGAGATCGATTGGGTATTGGTCAGGAAAAGCCAAAGATAATGATTATAATAATAACATATCTCCATTTGTCGAAGTCGTACTTATCTCTATCCTTTATATAGTTTCCACGACATATATTTTATTTATTTTAATTGGATTTTATATAATTAATTAGAAATCCGCCCAAATTAGTAGCCGACATATGAAATGGATAACTATCTTTTTTTTTACAATTTTTTGTTTAAAGAATACAACACGAGGTTTATTCCAAAAACAAAAAATACAACAGAAACACTTCTGAAAATTGCTATCTTATTATTTTAGTCCAAACACACTTAACTGAACAATTATTTACAGCAAAAATTTTATTAATTAATATTAATTATAAATTATAAAAATTTAATTTTATAATAAACTATTATAATATTTGACATAATTCGTGAAGACAATAAAATAAAATAAATAAGAAATTCTATATAAATATAAGGAAGAAAAAGAAAAAAAGTTATAGAGAAGGATCAAACTTGTATTGCTTGACTTAAGTAAAATAGGCTAAGTAGACCAAATTGATACTTTCGAAATATTACCTCCCAGTTTAGATTATATGTTATGGCTTAAAGGATGTGTTTTACTTGCCTTATGGATGGACCGGACATGTATTTAAGTTCTATAACTTTTGTATTGACGGGTTGTTATTGGACTTGATCATTTGATTAAACTTGTAAAAGAAAAAGTTAGAATCCGTGAAAAGAAGATAAACCAATAGATCATTTACCATAAAAGAGGAAGTTGATGAGAAGAACACAGAGTTCATGTCTAGAGGAAGAAGAAGATGAGTCAACGACAAAAAGAACAAGAAACAAGTTATGTATCGGCTGAGGTTAAAAAGCTACATGAAGTTCTTTTGCTAATATGTTTCTTTGCACTTCATCGTCTTGCAATTGAACATGATGTATGTATATTCTAGCACGGATTTATTTTATTTTGTTAGTTTTAGAGCGAGGTAATTGGTTATTAAATGGTTTTATTAGATTTTAGTGTTATTTCGCATGTTTTTTTGTTTTTTCGTTTGTGTTTGATCAAAAAATTTGTTCTTTACATCGTCTAATCTATCGATCAAATAAATTTTAGAATTTTTCATCGACTTACAATCAAATTTCTCATCTTTTATGAGTTGATCATAGAAATTTTGTATTACATTACAACAACAACAAGAAAAAAAAAAAAGTTGGATACATCTGAAAAAATATCTCTTCTATAACCCACGAGTTCTTTGGACGGTGAAGTTGACAAGAATTATTGAAATGAAAAAAAAAAGGGCTATTCCCTTCCTTTTCTTAAATCTTATATTTTGTGCTATCAATCAAACTACCTTGGCTCTTATAATTCATAGAACGGCGCCGTTATTATGTTTATTTTCGTCATGAATTTGTGCACAATCATGCACGAGCAAGAGAAGACGGTATCCACAACGTGAGTGGTTGAAATCAATTTCCTACCTTCTTTTGTCTCAAGATCATATATAGAAGAAAAAAGCAAAATATATAGATGGGCTTTTTGGTTTATAATCACAAAATGTTGGAACTTGGAAGTAGATGCTCTCGTATAAAACTGACTTTACTGATTAAATTCAAGCCTAAAGAAACACGTGCTCTTGTTCGAGTGGGAACAGTTTGTCAGTCTTCCAATCAGGCTCTCTTGCCAGTATATATTTGTTTTCTTCTTTTCAGTATCTACTTTTCTACATTTCGGCTCCTTATTTATTTGACACCCGACCATTTTAGCAAAAGTATAAATCGCTTAATTTTTTTTAAGACATAATTAGAATAGGATGATACACATATAATGTAAACCTGAGCTAAATTCATGTTTTCAAGCTACCATTCAAATTTCAACTACCATTATATTCTGGAAACCACTGTTAGATTCAAATTTGGACCTAAATTTATAAAGTCTGGATGTTTCGTATTATTCTAACCATTAATGGAGATGTCGTGTATCATTTGAGTTTTTTTTTTAACCATTTAAAGTACAGTAGAATATAGTGATACTATAGGTCAATTTCCTGGCGTCATATATAGTCTCTATCGTGGTTTTGTCGGAGAATTTGCCACGTGCTTAATTTTTGACTTCTGCGTCTCCAAAGCGTTTGCAACACGTCAATTTTGGAAAACAAATGCGGCTTCGATAGCTAACGAACGATAAATAAAGGGTCAAGTAAGCCAACAAATATATACTAATAAACAAATAAATTAATTTTAAAGAATGTTTTATATCCTTTTAGTTTATGAATACTTATATACAAATGAGGTTTTTTCCAAAAAAAAGGTATACAATGTACTTATTATATAATTATCCATTTGATATGATATTCATACTCACTACGACAGTTCAATATCGTGCTGGGTGGAGCCTATTACTAAAACAGAAAACATATTTTACATTATTACTCATTACAATATTATCATTAAAAATTTAAAGTAAGCTGATAAAATATCCTTATATTTCGTTAGAACAGTTCCCAATAAAAGATATAAACAATTAAAAGAAGAAACGAACCAGTAACATACAGCTATAGTAAAGACAAAAATGATAAAATAACAACTACGAATACCGTGTTATGTCGATCAAAATGACAAAATGTAATATAAGAAATTAAATTAATACTAAAAGCGATATTTTTGGGACCGATTGGTCGGACCCGCCACTTTTCCCCTCATATATACACACACGCAATACCCACCAAGAACACACACACACTTGGCAATTTAAAATCACATTCACAAACTCTCTCCAATACACCAAACAAAAACAAAACAAAAAAAATCAAGAACAACAAATATGGCATTTCTTCTGAGTTTTGTGATACTAGCGTTTCTTATAATCATCATCTTCTTTTTATCTTCATCTTCAACTAAAAAAGTCCAAGAAACCACCACCTATGGACCACCATCGTATCCACTCATTGGCTCCATACTCTCCTTCAACAAAAACCGTCACCGCCTTCTGCAATGGTACACTGAGCTTCTCCGTATCTCTCCGTCTCAAACCATCTTAGTTCCTCTCCTCGGAAACCGTCGCACCATTGTCACAACAAACCCAGAAAACGTCGAATACATTCTCAGAACAAACTTCTTCAACTTCCCTAAAGGTAAACCTTTTACTGATCTTCTTGGTGATCTCCTCGGTGGAGGCATTTTCAACGTCGACGGTCACTCATGGAGCTCACAACGTAAACTCGCTAGCCACGAGTTCTCGACTCGTTCTCTTAGGAGTTTTGCTTTTGAGGTGCTTAAAGACGAAGTGGAGAATCGTCTAGTCCCGGTGCTATCCGCCGCGGCTGATGTTGGCACGACCGTTGATTTGCAAGATGTTTTGAAACGTTTTGCTTTCGACGTTGTTTGTAAAGTCTCGTTGGGTTGGGATCCGGATTGTTTGGATCTAACCCGACCGGTTAATCCTCTTGTGGAGGCTTTTGACACCGCGGCTGAGATTAGTGCTCTTCGTGCTACAGAGCCGGTTTACGCTGTTTGGAAGGTGAAGCGTGTGTTGAACGTGGGAAGCGAGAGGAGGCTAAGAGAAGCGATCAGGACCGTACACGTGTTGGTCTCTGAGATTGTCAGAGCTAAGAAGAAGAGTCTTGAGATTGGAACTGGAGAAGAAGCGAAGCAAGATCTTTTGTCGAGGTTTCTAGCCGCCGGTCACGACGGTGAAGCAGTGAGGGACATGGTTATTAGTTTTATCATGGCGGGAAGAGATACGACGTCAGCAGCGATGACGTGGCTGTTTTGGTTGTTGACTGAGAACGATGGCGTGGAGAGGAAGATTTTAGAAGAAGTTGACCCGTTGGTTAGTTTAGGGTTAGGGTTTGAGGATTTAAAAGAGATGAATTATACAAAGGCTTGTCTGTGTGAAGCCATGAGGCTTTATCCTCCAGTGTCGTGGGACTCTAAACATGCTGCAAACGATGACGTTTTGCCTGATGGGACACGTGTCAAGAGAGGAGACAAGGTGACTTATTTCCCATACGGTATGGGGAGGATGGAGACGTTATGGGGGACGGATTCAGAAGAGTTTAAACCAAACCGGTGGTTTGATTCTGAACCGGGTAGTACACGAACGGTTTTGAAACGCATTAGTCCTTACAAATTTCCGGTTTTTCAAGCCGGACCGAGGGTTTGTGTAGGGAAGGAGATGGCGTTTATGCAGATGAAATATGTCGTTGGTTCTGTTTTGAGTCGGTTTGAGATTGTACCGGTTAACAAAGACCGGCCGGTTTTTGTTCCTCTTTTAACGGCTCATATGGCTGGTGGGCTCAAGGTGAAGATCAAGAGAAGAAGTCACATCCTTAATAACGTTTAATAGAATATGTAATAATGTAAAACGAGTTATTTATAGAATATCAGTGTGGCAATACTCCTGCAAAAGCAAAATGTGTACATTTGTAAAACATACCAAAACCGAATATAATCAGGTAATTTTTGGTTCAATTCCCTTGAAAGGTAAAAAATTGGATCGAGTTAGAAACATAGCTTGTAGTCTTGCCGCTTACCCAAACCAAACGAAATTGGATTGAGCAAACCGAAAATAACCAAATAAGCCCAAAAATCAATAATCTAGTTAGGAACTGGCCATGTAGATGTTGAAGCTAAA